CAATAACATAGAGCTATATAAAACCAGGAAATGCTCAACATTACATAATGATATGTAAAATAGAGACAGTGCCAATCTCAGGAGGTGGCCCTGGCAAGAAAGTTGTGGAGACAGGATTCTTAGTCCTAGTCAATGGAAACCAATGAAAGAAGTATGTGGATGGAAGCATGGGCATACACACATATAGGCAAACACACAATACCTTACCAGACACAAGCTGGAAAGGGTTCCCACAGTTGGAGATGTCTGCATGATCAGGCAATGGCTAAGAGAGAGAATATCCACCATGATTCAGGTTCAGAATACAGATCTCCAAGAAGCCCTGTTCAGCTCACCCGTGAAATTCCTGGGCTAGAGGGATGTTAGGGACTCCTAAGTGTTCTCTTCTTGTCTTCCCGAAGTTAGTGAGTAAAATAATGCACACCTTCCAATATCTCAAACCCTTCTCCACCCAAGTGTTGGTGTCCCTTCTCTATCAGTGGAAAAATCCCTGTCCCTTTCCTTTTGGGCGGGGGTTTTTGAGCTTTTAGTGGACTCTTCCAGTACAAGTACCATGACTCATATAGCACAGGACAAGGGTGAAGTAGTACCAACAAAGAGCCTCTGAAAAAAGGGGGAGGGGGTTGTGAAGAAGCAGGAAGACTGGTCTTTTACCAGACTGATGCTGAAGCGTGTGCATTTCAGCTCATCCAGAGTCTGCTTCTGTAGCTGCTCAGTGATCAAGGTTATCATGATTCTCCCCGGGATCTGACTTGCACACTTTGGAGAAAGTGATGGATGTCTTCCCTGTTGTTCTTCCACACCTCACTCGTGAGCCGTCTTCTGCCACTGCAGCACCATTCTAGCACCATTGGGACTTCCCTCTCCAGTCATGCCTGCTGAGTCTGCCAATTACAGAGGGACCAGCCCCAAGTGATATTAGAGATGTACCTGGTCCAGAGATGGAAAATGCATGGCACACACACCACAGCATCCTTAAGCCAGGCCTCTGGCAGACATCAGCAGAGATCACAGCTCTTTCCTGCTAAACCTACACATAGCCTCAAACACATTCTAAGACCGACAGTCCAGATATCCAGTAAAGTGAACTGCAGTTGGCAAGCACGTTGAAACCTATTTGCCACTTCTAACCTGGGTCATGCTTTGCTGTCTTCCCAGAATACTAGCACCACTTAGAAAACAGCTCAAGTGAGAGAGAGAGATGACCAAACGGTTACTTCCATTCTCATTAGCCTAATATTTTCTTTATCTTCTAGTTAGAAGCAAAGAGAGATACCGTTTTCTAAATTACAGAAATAATAATAGGGAACAGGGAGGAGGAATGGTTACAGGAGTGACTTTCTACTTCAGACGACAGTGAACAAGGTTTTAAGTTCTTCCTTAGCCTGAGCAGCTGGTATGTTATAGTTTTCCAAAAGAGGCTGCATGTATTCTCTTATAAAATGAGAAGAGGATAAGGAAACGATACAAGCGTAATTCCAATTACATTCCAACTCTACAGATGTTAAAAACAACTCTATGACTTTATTCAAACTAAATTTTTAGCCTGATCTGACTCTAAGACCAGGAATACAAATAATCAAGACTCTTCCTCAGGTCAATTGTGGTAGAAATATACTAGTTCTACCAGAGAACAGGCTCTAAGGCCACGTTATTGCCTGAGGGGCCTTACTTAAGGGAGGAGGGGAGGTTAACCTCTGTGTCTCCTTACTATTTTTTTTCCCAGAAATGACCAGCAGGCAGACAGCTCACCAGAGGGTATATGCAGCATTTGCTAGTAGAGAGAACAAACTATCAAGAATCTTAAATCCTGATCCAATTTGCTGAGGCAGTTTCAGCAAATCACTTAACCCTTCTGGGTCTCAGTTTACCCATGCAGAACAGGCAGAATAATCTTAATCTGTCACATACAGCGTAGCACACAACACCAAAATGTAAAAAGCATACCATCTGGCCTATACAAACCAGAGGTCCACACAGGCTGTTTCTCCACTCTGTTTGTTGTTCTACAAAAGGCTCAGAATGCCACAAGTGATGACATTGTTAAGATAAAGGCAACGGGGTTTATGTATTTGGTTAGATATCAACTTCCATCACCTGAAAACCAAGAGAAGCCCAAAAGGGCTCTTCTATGACCTTGGGGGCAAGATCACTTTCCACTTTTACAAAAAAGAGAATCACCCCTACCCTATTCCTACCTCAGAGGGAGGCAGGCCACACAGAAAAGCAAAGAACTACATGTGGATATACTTAAGAGTTTTTTGGAAAAAAGGTGTGGGAGAAGTCAATCATTATTATAGTTAACTATCATTTTCATGCATAATTATTACAGCCCTGAACAAAGTTCCAGCTTCCTGAGAGCTCCCTTCAGCTGCTTCCCCTATGTTCTTGTGGGAGAAGCTAAGCTTATAACACTTCTGCTCTTGGTTTCTTAACTCTACCCTCAAAGATCAACCAGAGGGGGAACCTAAATGCAGACTTTTACCCCAGAGACCCCAGACTTCAGACTGCCCAGTCATGAGGAGCAAAGAGTGAAGTAAAACTCTTTCAAGCTTTTCATGAGGTATTTGGCCAAATAGCAAACTCCCAGCCCTCTCTCTGGGATCTAGTGAAGAGAGTGATTTCGTATTTTTCTGCATTTTAATTGTTGGGATGAGGCCACACACGGCGGTAATTGGAACAATGCAACTACCACCACGCAACTGATACTCTCAGCCTGAGTTTCCTAAAACAGGCCAGGCTGAGAGGGGGAACAGAACGGAAGCCATAAGGAATCAAACCAGGACACAAAAGAAGGCAAACCAGCTCTGCGAGGGGCCTCCTCTTTCTCAGGCAGGCATAGAAAAAAGTGCAAGAAACCCTCTCTTGCCGCCTTCCTTCCTCTTCCATTTTGTGTATTTGGGAGGCAGAGAGCCCTGAACGTTCACTTAAACAAGTTAAAACTTCTCAGCTTAACTGGCACGGGGCTCAGCCTTGCATAGAGCAGCAGGCCGCTAAGGCCCTCTCCACAACCCCACCAGGCCCAACTCTCAATTCAGGCTTTCCCTCCACCACCGGCCCTCTAAAATAAAGGTTGGACCCTCACCCCATCTCCTATTGGATGGCAGTAACCCCAGACATTCAGGTTTCAGGGATGCTGAGGTTGTACTGAAAACTGGAGAACCTAGGATCAAGTCAGGCTAAGGGGGAGGAGAGTCACCAATCCCTGGGGACCTTCCCCCAGGTCCCAGCCCCACATCTCTGGGGGACACTGAAGGAAAACATGAGGGAAGCAGGGAGGCGCAAGAACTGGTAAATGGGGACCTGATTGCTCGTCCCCCATATGGCTCTAGTGAGGATAGGGGTGACAAGTGGGGAGAACCCCTCCCCCACTCGGATGAAGAAGCAAAAGGCTAGGCCCCCTCCAGTCTTCAACCTCTCCCTCGGTTGCCCTGGCTGTCCCCGCGGGGTGGGGCATGGGGCGTCCGCTGGCCCCCGGTGGGGGGACACCAGGGCTCGCTCAGGGGGCTCGTTGCTCCCCTGTTCGCAATTAGCTTCCATCATCTGGCCGTGGAAGAGAACTCAGGACGCAGGGGATGGAGAGGGTATGGGACTTAGCACTCAGTCACCCCCTCCCCCACTGGGTCCCGTGCTCTCCCCGCGGAGGCGGACAGCGAGGCCCCGCCGCGCGGCTGCAGGGCTGGGATAAGGGAAAGAGGGAAGGAGGGAGCGGAGGCTGAGGTGCCCACCCCGAGGCCCGAAAGCCACCTGCCCTCCGCCACCTACCGCGGCTCCTTCAGCTCCCAGGGCCGCGGCCGGAGCAGCTCTGAGCGCTCGGTTCGCCCCACGGTGCCCTTAAAAGGCGCCGGCGCGAACCAATGGGCCTCTCAGGAGAATGGGGGAACCTCTCGGGTTCACAGAGTCCCCCTGAACCGTCCGCGAAGGCTCTAGACTCCCATTGTTTCTCTTTCAAACTCTTTCTTAGACAATACTGTCGGGAAAGAGCCCGGCTCTTTGATTTAAGGATGAGGGCGGTTTCCTCACTATTGACTCACCCCCTCCAAAATATTGCGGAAGGTAGAGGGGCCCAGTTAGACGAATATCACGAAACCCGCGGGGGAGGCAGTGTCCGACGAAGGTAAACAAAGCCATCTCCTCCGCACAGCATTTCTACACCGGCCCAAGTACAGCCCTCTAATAGGTTTGGGCCGCGTAAAAGCTTTAGACAAGGTCCCTCTCACCTGCTCTCCAGTCCCACCTTCTGCCGCTGCCTCCCTAAAGGAATCCCCCTCCTCCCAGCAGAGGACCTGTCCGCGGCGTGGAGGCTTCTGGGAAGTGTAGTCCCAGAGCCGATTAGGGCCTGCTCTGAGTCCCAGGAGCCCTTATTCCAGCGGCCGGATCGGCTCAAACCCTTATAAATCCAGTACTTACAACAGTTGGGGTGCTGTTCCCATTTGGTTTTGTAATTAGCCCTCACCGAAAACACTTTGTAAAGCTGAGGAGGGCTCAGGGCTGTTCACTCCTTCCCCTCCCTCTACGCACCGCCCCCCCCAACAGGATGAGGTAATGGGATTGTGATTATGACATCATAGGCGGTTCGATAGCTCGCGTTGGAGGTGGTAGGGGCAGTACGGTGGTTACAGCTGACTACTTTCCTTAACACAGGGAGGGAGGCTGATGGAGAAAATATGTTGATGGTTTTGTATTTCCTCTTCAGGTAGAATAAATCACCTTTTATTAAATTGCCATCATTGCCACCACCTCCCACCTCAGTCAAAGTTTAAGTCCTTTTTGAAGAGACTGAATGTGAACGTAGACGTTAGTAGATGAAGAGGTTGGGGAATAGCTAGATGGTTTCTGGTTCTTATGTAAATTTGAGTCTCATCTACCAAAGAAGGTTTAGAGAGATAAGCAAAACATGGAAAAGGAGAGGTTTTAAACAAACAATGCCTTCATATTGTTATCTCTTTGTAGGGCAGAATATTAGATTTATTTTTTAATCAATTGGAAAGTAGCAGTCATGCAAGTAAATCCTCACTACTAAGCAACAAGTCCCCTGAAAGATTTCTGTTTTCCCTAAATATTTTGTTTCCCATTCAGGTCTGCGACAGATAAGTAACTGTGATTAGTTAGAAAGTAGAACCAGGGTGTGTCATCTTCACAGAGCCAGGGAAGGGAGGAGTCAGGAGCCACCAAGTCTGCAAACTGGAAGAGAAAAGGGAAAGTTAGGTACTTATCAAGAAAATGGGGCGAAGGGAAGATGTACTTCACTTTTCCTTGCCCTGCACATTTCCCCCTGGACAAAAGAACTGGCAGGGGCCATAAAGTTACAGGAGACATGGTTTCCGATAATTGCTATTGTGGAGCACTTACTATGTGCCAGGCATCATGCTACGTACTTTAAATATGTATTTAAAGTACATATTTTTGCTTATAAAATCTCCTTATTTGACAGATGAAGTGGCTGGAGAGGTTAAGTGACTTCCCATGTTGTAGACAAAGGTAATATTAAAAAAGCAGTCTGAGGTTCTAAAACCCTAGGTCTTCACCACTAGATGATCCTCCTCTTTATTATTAACCATGCTTACTAAAGTTAGATAATTGAGTATAAGAGGTTAAGTTAGCATTGCCTCATTTGCAAAACATTGAAGAAACTGAGAGTTAAAAAAATAAACCCTGCATGTCAGGTTTCAGGCTTTACTTCAAAAGATTATGCCTCTCATCAAGTATAAAATATCCCCCAGTGAAGTTGAACTCCCCGCTTTGCAAACTGTAATTATTCTTATGATGCCACTCTTAGATCTCAAGGGGCTTTTTTGTTTTGTTTTGTTTTTTTACTCACATCATGATATTTTTTCCTGCTGCTGTATTTTCCTTCTTTTGTTCTTGGAATACTACCTTGAATCCCATCTTAATTGTGACCTCATGGACCAGACCCCATCTCTGTCTGACCCTACACCTAGCAACAACTCCTCTGAAAGATGTCTGTTTTCCCTAAGTATTATGTACCCCACTCAAGTCTGGGACAGATAAGTAACTGTGATCAGTTAGAAAGTAGAACCAGTGGTGGGGATCTTCAGCTCCAGGGAAGGGAAGAATTTCAGCAGAGGATACTACCTGGCCTCCCTTCCAGTCTCCATCCAGATTATCTGAGGGTTCCAGGGGCTGGAGCCAGTAATCCAGGAGGTCATCCAAAGGGGTAGAATCCATTGATTCTAAGAGACGCTCCATTCCCTGCCTAGGAAGGCAGCAGAGTTAGAGGAACATGCACCTCATTCAGACTCTCCCTTTTCAGGCAGTAAAAGTTAAAACTCTGCAAAATGGAAAGAGGTAGGGCTCAGTCTACCACTCAAGAAAGGAACCAAGAATAGTGCACATACCCCTCAGCTCCCCTGCCCTGCAGAGGCTGGCTGGGGGGGTCCCAAGAATGGAGTGCTCTTCTCCACTGCCTGATTTGGGCATCCCAGGAGCGGCGGCTGTATCTTCTGTTTTTGTTTGGTGTTTGAGGATGAAGTCCTGGCTGTCGTTGTGCCCTGGCAACAACAAATATGAGTGAGACTGAGGTCAAGGTAAAAGGGCACAGCTCACTGCTTATCACAATGAATCAGGAGGCTCATTAGGGATTCTCTGAGAATAATGTACGATCAATGCCCTTAGTCCAACAGAAAAAATAAATTTTCAAATCAGATTAAACACCAAACTTCCTAACTCCTCAATATTCTTTCATCTGGGAAGGGTAAATTAAATATTCCAATTCCCTCAGAAGTCAAAAATACATATAAAAGACAGTATTTGGCATCCCTTTTTGAATACATTCTATCTTTCCATACACCTAGTTTATATATATGCATGTAAACTTACATATAATTAGCCAAATATATTGCAGTTAGCCAAGTCAGCTGTAGGCATGAGGTAAAAATGATTGGAAAGAAAAAAATTTCATTAGCAAACATGGATAGAGGGTTTTTGGGGTTTTTTTGATAGATTAAAAAATCTTATGTATGACTTGTTCCATTTGAAAAAAATCTTGGAAAATTAACCTCAGGGCTAGATTGCAGGAGAATTTGTTTTTGTAATGCTGCAAGTGTGTGAGGCCACTCAGATTCTGGTATATTTTTATCATCTGACATTGAACCAAAGCCACTTGACTGACACTCCTGTTGTGACTATCCACAACTGCACTCACTTGGGGACCTGCTGCAGAAAGCACTGGTAACCAGCTGTGCGCTTGCCATAATCTATCTGCTTTTGCCGCCGCTGTAGGACGATTTCATCTGTTTCTACCTCCCACCTGTGGGGAAGTATATGGTGGTCACATGAAGTGTGAATAGTTATCAAAGCAGAAACCAACTCATCCCACACTCCGTTAATCCCCAGTCTGGTTTTCAAACTCACCTGGCACGGCAGGGCTCGGTGCTGACTCCCACACTCACCATCTGTATCCTAGAGGGCAAAGACTCTTCACACAGCTCCTTCCTGGGGAAGCAGACAGTACAGATGAAAAGGGTATTAGGTCAATACCCAGCTAACTAAACTGCACCTTTCAGCCACTACCACCACCAAGATCCTGATATCAGCTAAAGGTTGTATTTTTGACTTTCTGTTTCTCAAAGAGAAAGGTTGCATTTCTGATTTGTTTCTCAATGTGTAGTCTACAAGCCATCTGCATGGGTAGCATCTGGGGACCTTGACAATTCCTGGGTCACATTCTAGACCTATTGAATCATCACTTTGGGGCCTATATTTTAAAGAGCTTCCAAGGTTATTTTAAACATTTTTTATTATAGAAAATTTCAAATATACAGAGAAGTAAAGAGATTAGCATAATATTTTGCTACTCAACTATATACTCAAAGCATTATTTAGGAGCTTTTTAGAACCAAAGAATCTTGGGCCCAACCCAGACCTACTGAAGCAGAATCTGCATTTTAACAAGATCCCCAGGTGATTAGTATGCAGGTTAAATTTTGAGAGCACTGATAAAATAGACCCCCATTTAACCATCTCCCAATACTCAAGGTCGATCTTGTTTCATCTATACCCACCACTGCTCTACAGGATTACTTAAAAGCAAGTCCCCCAAATTAAGTATAAATTCTTAATATCACCTAATGTTCAAATTTTCATAAACCAAATTTTGAGATCCTTTGGATTGTGATAAGGATTATGCCAAGAGATCATTCAACTCCCCTGCTTTCCCTGAAAAGGAATTTCCTTTACTCACATAACCTAGCGTCTTTAAAATGCTGCACACTAAAATGGAGATCTTACTAGGAAAGCTCTAGGAAGGGACCAATGCCGCTTAGCATAAATACACACACCTGCCACGCCCCAGTATCTGCCACACCCAAGGCAAATGTTCCATCTCCAGCGGAAGGCTAGCTAACCAAGAGGGAAAAGTCTGTATAATACACGAGAAAGAAGCAAGGAAAAAGAAACGTCTAAAACATGCTAGCATCCAGGCTAATCCTTCAGGTACTAAGTTAAGCACAGGACGTCCCTAGCGCGGTGCAACTTAAATCTCCCGGGGTCGAGGGGCAGAGCAAAGGGAAGGATCAGGGTGGGTGAGGCGATTGGCCACAGGGAAAGCCAATGGTGCTCGAGGCTTGTGTGGGGCGGGGCTTATTGCGCGGTTTGCCCTCCGCTAGTGGGCCAATTCGCATCCTGCTCTGGCTGAGGGGCGGGGCAAATTTTGCTCCCTTCAACGCAAGCCTACGCCCCCGGTGGTGGACGAGACAAACCATTGGCTGAGAGGGTTCTGGGCGGGCGCGCAAAGATTGGCTGATTCATCTTACAGAAGAGCAGGATAGGTTACTGGGAGGGCGGAAGGTTTGAACGGTGAAGTCCCGTGGCTGTTGATACTGCTGGTCTGAAGCCCTGAGGAGAGAAATGGCAATTCCTGGCTCCGGCGTATCCAGTCGAGAAGTAGAATTGCAGTCTGGTTAACTGCCACCTTTCTCCAGAATTCCTTTAATTCTGCTCAGGTCTTCACTGTGACCGACCCCCATTCACTTCCATTTTTCCCGAAGGTAAATCTCGGGCTCAAACCTGAGGTAAGACCTGAGCCATCTCCGCCCGAATCGGGGAGACCCATTTCCTTTCAAAGGGCCAGTCGGAGCCCCACAAACAGAAGTTCAGGGGCCCTAAGGTCGGTATTGTCGCGAGTTAAGAGACCTGAGTTCTTTCGGGTGTGGAGTCACGAGCTGTGTGGTACCAAACAAGTCAAAGCCTTTTTTTCATTTTTGCTTTAAAACTCTGAGGTTTCCTCTCGGTAGTTTCACGTTCCGACGAAAAAGCCAGGAATTTTCGGGCAAGTGTGATTGCTTCAAGCCAAGTGGTGATTGATTCACCGTCTGGGGATGCCGGTCCTTCAACACGGATCCAGATCCACTTGGCCGCGGCTGGGAAGGATTGGGAGGTTGTGAAAACCGGACAATCTGTGACGTGCCCCATGCAGATGACGTTCTCCTCTTAGATGGGTTTCATTTTTTTCTTAGTAAGCACTCGGAGACTATGTCTGCAGAACTCAATTCATCCACAAGAGAGGAGGGAAGTCCTGGCACAGGACCTAGTTTCAGGTCCCATCAAAGGATGATATTAAACCTGCTCCTGGAGAGAGACACATCCTTTACTACCTGTCCAGATGTCCCAAGAACGCCAGTGAACAGTCTCTTTGGTTATTCTGCAAACCTAAGTATTTTGTCTGGGTAAATCCACCTTTCACACCTTATCTACTTTGCTTTTGTAAATGGTTTTTTGAGTTTAAAAGAGAGATTACCCTGGCTCAAAGATCTAAGTTTAAGTCTTACCCCTGGACTGTGTGACCCTTTTGATATTCGAACTGCTTTTCTGTGACCTAGAAATAATCTCTTCCTATCTTACTGGGATCTTGTGAGATTCAAATGGTGTGATGTGTGCGGAAAGTCTGTGAAAACTCTTGCATTATATGAGTTGGTCACTTCACTAGTATTAATATTATGTTATTGTACTTTAAATGTTGGCTATACCATGCTGGGCTGTCAAACTCATTTTCCTGGCGGGGCACTTCAGCCTCGAAGTTGCCTTCAAAGGGCCGAATGTAATTTCAACTCCTGAACAGTTAAGGAGTAGTTACGCTTATACAGTACTAAAATTATTTTGGCCCTTTGAAGGTAACTGCAAGGCTGAAGTGCCCCCCCAGTGAAAATGAGTTTGACACCCCAATCTAATGCCTCAGCTAGCAAAATTGGAGAGTTATAGACTCGAGAAGCACTAGAGACTTAAGGGAGAATTCAAACTGGTGTGCTCATGGTGCACACAGTAGAAGATGTGGGGTCAAGGTCCACCTCAGTCAATAAACTTTGGTCTTTGATTATAAAAAAAACCAAAAAACCGCTCTGTTTCAGTATGTTAGTGAGGAGAAAATTAGGTAGAGATTACTACAGAAGAGAAAAGGTGGGAGATTTTTCTCAGCATAGTCTGAAATATTCCCAAAAGCAATTGGATTCATACGGACACTGTTCAGATTATGTGATAATCATTGAGGATAATGTGATCTTTTCCTTTTATGAATATTATATCCTAATGAGAATATGGATGTGCTATTATGTCTCAACAGAGAAACCCCAAAACGTTGCCTTGATCTTTCGAGCCTAAGCAGTGGCGAGATGTCTGCCACTCAGCTTACCACTCCTACAGACCTTGATGGAACTGATAGGGTGAAGGCAGGTAAAGGCTTCAAGGAAAAGAATAACTTTTTCTTCTTAATTTTTATTTATTGATTTGAGAAAGAAAGAGGGAGAAAAAAGACATCAATTTTGTTGTTCTACTCCTCCATTCATTCATTGGTTGTTTCCTGTATGTGTCTTGACCAGGGATTGAACTTGCAGCCTTGGAGTATTTGGATAATGCTCCAGCCAATGGAGCTACCACCCAGCCAGGGCCAGGAAAGAATAACTTTTAAAGGAGAAGTCAGAGTAGTAAGATGAATAGAGAAGGTGGTAAAAGTAGGTAGAGAGCTTTGAAGTTGGAATTTTGTGGTTATATATAGGATTTTTGAGGAGAATGATCAAGCCAATGGGAAGAGAAAAATAATAACATTAATAGGAGTCACTTTGCATTTAAGATCTTATTTATTTGTTTTCAGAGAGAGGGGAAGGAAGAGAGAGAAACATCAGTCTGTTGCTTCTCACATGCACCCAACTGGGGACTTGGCTTGCAACCCAGACATGTGCCTTGACTGGGAATTGAACCGGCAACCTTTCAGTTTGCAGGCCAGCACTTAATTCACTGAGCCACACCAGCCAGGGCAAAAATCTCTGTAGTTTAGTGTATTGTTTCCCAGCACTTTGTCTTTCAGTGTCACATGTAAATTCTTAAGATTCTATTAACTTGTACTTTGTACCATGAATTTGGTACCTATCAAGAGCCTTTGTAGTTAGAAGGTCAGCTTTGAAGTTAATACGATTTACTGGTAATGAAGAAAATTGGAAGGAAAGACAGGATGTATGGACAAATATGACTTCATATCTGATTGTAGGTCCTTTGGATTCTTCAGGACCTCAGGAAATACAGTCAGCTTGGATGTAAGTTCTTTTGCTAAATGAACCTCATGCTAAAGCCTTTCAGCACTGGCACAGGGATTTTATCCTATGTAAACTCTGCAGAGTATAGAACATTTCACACTGGGTATAATGGGCTTGGAGTCCTAGATCCTTCCCTTGAAAGGTTTTTAAGTTTTCCAGAGTGTTGTGAAAATGAAGGCTATTTATTATAACCATCACACATAATCAGTATTATTGTTAAGGGTGGAGGAAAATGGTATATACTGCACTTAGACATAAATCGTTACCTGCATGTGAGTAGTGCTGTATCTTAGTGCTTAATGTGCCTAGTGTATGCTGTAAAATCAGTGTGCCTGGATTCCAGTAGCTTACTACCTTGCCAATTGTGACTTTGACAAGCTTCTTAACTTCACCGCACCTCAGTTTCTTCATTAATAATAAAGAAAAACAATAATGGAGATAATAAAAGCACTTCTTTTCTTCTAAGATTTTATTTATTTATCTTTAGAGGGGAAGGGAAGGAGAGAGGGAGAGAAATATCAATGAATGGTTGCCTCTGTACATCCCCTGCTGGGAACTGGCCTGAAACCTAGGCATGTACCCTGACTGGGAATCAAACCTGGATCCTTTGGTTCGCAGGCCTGCATTCAATCCACTGAGCTACATCAGCCAGGGCTAAAAGCACTTCTTATAAACAGCTATTGTAAGGATTAAATTTTCATTTAATACATAGCAGCTGCTAAAGTATTTTATTTATTTGTTTGTTTATTTATTTATTTATTTATTTATTTATGGGAAGGGAGGGAGAAAGAGAGGAAGAGAAACATCAGTGTGTGGTTGCTTCTCATGTGCTCCCCCTACCTGAGACGTGGCCCGCAACCCAGGCATGTGCCCTAAACTGGGATTCGAACTGGCATCCCTTTGGTTTGCAGGTTGGCATTCAATCCTGAGCCACAGCAGCCAGGGCATATTTTAGAATATTTACTGCACAGAATCCTAGATGGAGACTAGGATGACAGCTAGTGGGGGGAGGGGTTTAGGGCAGTGGAGGGATTGAACAAAAAGGAAAAAGTACTCATGGACATGGACAACAGTGTGGTGATTGCTGCGGGGAGGGTGTTGTAAGGGGACTAAAAGGTAATGTTAAAAAAATACAATACCAAAAGTTTGCTGGTTCAATTCCCAGTCCAGGGCACATGCCTGGGTTGCTGGCCAGGTCCCCAGTGGGGGTGTGTGTGTGTGTGTGTGTGTGTGTGTGTGAGAGGCAACCACACATTGATGTTTCTCTTCTTCTCTTTCTCCCTCCTTTCCTTTCTCTAAAAATAAATGAATAAAACCTTTAAAAAATACAATGAAGATTAAATATTTTAAAAAGAATATTTATTATTATTAACAATGAAGATTCTTTGTTAGAGATCTTAAAGTGTTCAGTCAGGGAATACTGAAGGAGTAAAAAGTAATTTTAACTCAACTTCTTAAACTTATTGTAAGTTTTCTGTTGGACTGTTTTAATCTTTTTAGAACTTTATCCTTCAATGTTTAGGTGAATTAGGTGCTACTTTAGTACACTAGGGAGGGCTTTCAATGACTATTACATGTGAAAATTTACTTTGTATTATTTGTATTTTCTTTGAATTACTTAAAATGCCCTAACTCATGTAGACAAATGAACTCCTCGGAAGGGGGATAGAAATTCATGAAAAGAAAAAATACTAGCTCTCAGTAGTCAATGCTGGAAAATTAATAAATTATAAATTATGTCTATATAAGATATAGGACAAAATCATCATCTTTGATTCATATCTAGTATACATATGGTTATATATACATATGTAGATAAAAAATAAAGGCCTTATCTTCAGAATGTCACTCATCTTAACATTTACCACAGAGAGCACCCTACCATATTGTTATTTGAATAGACATATCAACTAGGTATAGGGATCCTAGAATGCAGGAAAGGAAAAGCTGGCTCTAAGCCACTGATGAACAATCAAACAGTATTTGGATCTAAACAGACTGGTAATTTTTATTTTTGTTTTGATCTGCAGGAATCATCACCAGTGCCTTATAAAATGCAGCCCAGTGAGTAGGTCTTCTTTCTTAGACTTGGCTTTGTTTCTAGGGGGAAAAAGAGGGTTTCCAGCTCAACTGTGGCTGGAGGTTGCTGAATGTTCTCAGAAAACCATCTCTTGTAGGCACAACTGCTTTGTAGCACTCCGAATGCTTTGGATCATGGCAATAGGAAGATAGATGCAATATGTACCTCATCCACAAACAAAGGAAACGTGAGTGTCTAATGGAAACCTAGATACATTAGCAGTTGTATTCCTTTGAGCAGAGCAAGTCATTGGTATCATGAGACCTTGTTTTTTATGCCTCAGTATGGTAGACAAATGAATAGCAACATTATCAGAAAAAAACTTCTTTATGGTTTGTTTTCTGTTTTTCTCTTTAAGGTTTGACCCTAGAACAGAAACCTATTCTGAGTCTTGCATAGTAGGTCATCATTATACTCATGTTCAGTTTATTGGTTTAAGAACAAAAATATCTGTTAATATTGTCTAAGGAATTTAGGACACTTAAAAAAACTACATTACACCCTGGCTGGTGTACCTCAGTAGATTGAGTTGGGGCCTGCAAACCAAAGGGTTGCAGATTCTATTCCTAGTCAGGGCACATTCCTGGGTCGTGGGCCAGGTCCCCAGTGGGAGGCACGCAGGAGGCAGCCACACACTGGTGTTCCTCTCCTCTTTCTCCTTCCTTTCCCTTCTTTCTAAAAATAAATAAAATATTTTTTAAAATATGCAATACATTTTTTACATTACATTACAAAGTTAAGTACATTAAGTAGGAATAAGGCACATAACTTGTTCATAGACTATTTGCATGACTTCATGTATAAGTCTTTATTTTTGATTTTTTAGAGAGAGGGGAATCGAGGAAGAAAGAGAGGGAAAGAAACCTCCATGTGAGAAAAAATTGATTGCCTTTTGTATGTGCCCCCACCAGGGATTGAACCTGCAACCCAGATTCCTCCCCCATTTCCCCATGTGCCCTGACGGGGAATCAAATCGGCAACCTTTCAGTTTGCAGGATGATGCCCAACCAATTGGGCCACACATACCAGAACTAGAGTTCTTAATTTCTTATTTCTCCTTAATCTAGCTTTTTAGTCCCTATTCTGAAAAAGCTCTGTCCTTTTTGGTCTGAGCTGAAGCCATCCTTGGGCCATCCTTGAATCCCAAGTTGAAACTGACCTCTCCTGATTTGCCTAATCACTAAGATAATTCTGTAACTAACCTCTCTCTCTTTTTAATTGCTTAGAGAGAGAGAGGGAAGAAAGAAGACAGAGAGAGAGAGAGGAAGGAAGACAGAGACATCGATTTGTTGTTCAGCTTTTTTTTATATTCATTGGTTGATTCTTTTTTAAAAAATTATTTATTTATTTTTAGAGAGAGGGGAAGGGAAGGTGAAAGAGTGGGAGAGAAACATCAATGTGTAGTTGCTTCTCCTGTGTCTCCTACTGGGGACCTGGCCTGCAACCCAGGCATGTTCCCTGACTGGGAATTGAACTGGCGACCCTTTGCTTCACAGGCCTGTGCTTAATCCACTGAGCTACACCAGCCAGGGCTCATTGGTTGATTCTTGTTTGCCCTGACAGGGATTGAATTCACAACCTTGGTGTATCAAAACAATACTCTAACTGAACAAGCTACCTGGTCAGGGCCAGATTGTTGCTTTTTGTGTTTCATCCTACATAAGAGTGAATTCATGCCATTTTTGTCTTTTCCATCTGACTTATTGCACTTAGCACAATACCCTCAAGATCCATCCATGTTGTCGAAAATGGCAATATTTCTTCTTTTTGTGGCTGAGTAGTATTCAGTGTGTGTGTGTGTGTGTGTGTACACACACACACCTTCTTCTTTATCCAAACATCCACCGAAGGACATTTAGGTTATTTCCATGGCTATTGAAATAAAAACATTATTATTTTTAACATTATTTTTATTTTAAAATATTTTATTTATTTACTTTTAGGGAGAGGGGAAGGGAAGGAGATAGAGATGGAGAGAAACATCTAGTGGTTGCCTCTCTCACGACCCCAGAAGAGGACCTGGCCCACAACCTAGGCATATGGCCTGACTAGGAATTCAACCTTTTGGTTTGCAGGCTGGGGCTCAATCCACTGAGCTACACCAGCCAGGGCTAAACATTATTTTTAATGGATGTTTTTCTTCTAATTAATGGACCATAACTTATGTCTTTACTTCTTTATTATTGGACATTTAGTGATATCCAAATTTTGCTTCTATAAATAATACTATCATGTAAATTCTTGAGTATAATCTTTGCCTATGTTTCAGATCTTTTTCTTTAGGATTAGTACCAAGAACTATCACTACTGGGTTAAAGGGCATAAATATTTTATTATTTATTTATTTATTTAAAAATATATTTTATTAATTATGCCATTACATTTGTTCTATTTCCTCCCTTCATTCCCCTCCACCCTGAACACCCCCTCCCCCACCATTCTCCCTCCTTTAGTTTATGACCACCTGTCTCAAGTTCTTTAGATTCTATATTTCCTGTACTATTCTTGCCCTCCCCCCTATCTATTTTCTACCTACCATCTATGCTACTTATTTTCTGTACCTTCTCCCCCCTTCTCCTTCTTCCACTCCCCTGTTGCTAACCCTCCATGAGATCTTCATTTCTATGGTTCTGCTACTGATCTAGCTGTCCTCTTAGTTTGCTTTTGTTTTAGGTGTGGTTGTTAATATCTGTGAGTTTGCTGTCCTTTCACTGTTCATCTTTTTTATCTTCTTTTTCTTAGATAAGTCCCTTTAACATTTCATATAATAAGGGCTTGGTGATGATGAACTCCTTGAATTTGATCTTATCTGAGAAGCACTTTATCTGCCCTTCCATTCTAAATGAAAGCTTTGCTGGATAGAGCAATCTTGGATGTAGGTCTTTGGATTTCATGACTTGGAATACTTCTTTCCAGCCCCTTCTTGCCTGTAAGGTCTCTTTGGAGAAATCTGCTGACAGTCTGATGGGAACTCCTTTGTAGGTGACTGTCCCCTTATCTATTGCTGCTTCTAGGATTCTCTCCTTCATTTTAATCCTGGGAAGTGTAATTATGATGTGCCTTGGTGTGTTCCTTCTTAGATCCGACTTTGGGACTCTCTGAGCTTCCTGGATTTCCAGATTGGGGAAGTTCTCCTTTATCGTTTGCTCAGATAAATTTTCCACTTGTGGCTGTTCCTCTTCCCCTTCTGGTACCCCTATAATTCAGATGTTGGAACGTTTAAAGATGTCCTGAAGGTTCCTAAGCCTCTCCTCATTTTTTTGGATTCTTGTTTCTTCGTATTTTTCTGTTTGGTCATTTTTTTCTTCCTCCTGGTCCACTCCTTTGATTTGAGTCCCAGTTTCCTTTCCATCACTATTGGTTTCCTGTGCATTTCCCTTCATTTCAATTAGTTTTGCCTTCATTTGTTCCTCTAATTTGTGACTAAAATCAACCAGTTCTGTGAGAATCCTGACCACCAGTGTTTTGAACTATACATCTGAAGGGTTGGCTATTTCTTGGTCACTTAGAGTTATTGGTTCTGGAGCTTTGAGTTTTTCTTGAGCCATCATGTTTCGGTCTGTTCACGCCTGTTACGGATGAGGGGCAGAGCCCTAGGTGTTCACCAGGGCGGGGCAATTCAGTCACTGGGCTATGACGCTGTATGTGGGGGTGGGGTCAAAGAGGGGTAATAACAGTCCCCTCTGCTGCTTCTCGCCACTGGGGCCTGCCTGGTCTGTCTTACTGCTTGCTCCTTCACCTGGTTTATCTGCGCTCCAATGTGTGACCACGGTCAGCCACCTACCTTGCGCCCTCACTGGGTCTGCTCGTTACAACCCTACACCTGGGATCTGCCAACTGCTGCCCACACGCCTGGGTCAGTCTGGCCGAGTTTTCCTGTGAAACCCCACTTCACCAATCGCTGGCTCTGGTCCTCTTACTGGTCTGGCTGAACAGTTCGTTGTTGTCGGACTTCCCTATAGTTCAATTTTCTGTGTTTTGGTTGCATTTTTGTTACTAAAACTTTGTTGTCTTTAAACTTGGTTGTGCGAGGAGACACAGTGTTTCCACCTACGCCTCCATCTTGGCTGGAAGTCAAATTTACCTTTTTTAAAAAAGATTTTAAAAGATTTTATTTATTTTTAGAGAGAGGGGAAGGGAGGGAGAAATATCAATGTGTGGTTGCCTCTCATGTGGCCCCCACTGGGGACCTGGCCCACAACCTAGGCATGTACCCTGACTGGGAATCGAACCTGGGACACTTTGGTTCGCCGCCTGCACTCAATCCACTGAGCTACACCAGCCAGGGCAAAATTTACCATTTTAATATTTAAGTGGACAATCCAGTGGCATTACATACATTCACAATGTTGTACAACCATCACCACTGTCCATTTCCAGAATTTTTCATCATTCAAAATAGACGCTCTCTACCCATTAAATAATAACTTCTCATTCCTCTTTCCCCAGTAACCTCTAGTCTACTTTCTGCCTCATATATTTGACTACTCTAGGTACTTCATGTAAGTGGAATCGTATAACATTTGCCCTTTTCTGTCTGTTTACTTCACTTAGCATAATGTCTTAAACATTCACCCATGTTCGTAACATGTATCAAAATTTCATATCTTATTATGGCTGAATAATTTCCCATTTCATGAATATATCACATTTTGTTTCTTCATTAATTTGTGATGGACTTTTGCGTTGTTCCTACCTTTTGACTATTATGACTACTGCTGCTATAATATTGATATTCAAATATCTGTTCAAGCCCATGCTTTCAACTTTGGGGGGTATATGCCCAGAAATGGAATAGGTGGATTATTTGGTAATTTTTTGTTTAACTTTTTGGAGAACTGCCATACTGTTATTCATAGCAGTTGTACCATTTGACATTTCCTACAGTAATATCCAAGGATTCCAATTTCTCCATATCTTTGACAATACTTGTTATTGTTTTTTATACACACACACACACACACACACACACAAAATAGCTATCCTGATGAGTATGAAGTAGTGTCTCATTGTGGTTTTGATTTGTATTTTCTGAATAACTAGTTAGGTTGCACATTTTTTGTGTACTAATTGGCCATTTGTATGCCATCTTTGAACAAATTTCTATTCAAATTCTGTTTTGGCTGTTGTTGGGTGGTAGCAGGTACACACATACACACACACACAGACAACTATTCAGAAAGTATACAGCTATGTAATATCAAAAAGAGACATTTATTGAAGAAGATACAAGAGACATTGTATGTAGGACAATGATGCCTCAGTTCCCTTCAAAGTGGGCACCTGGCCTACTCACACAGTTATCCCAATGGCCACCAACTGGTCCATCATATTTTCCTGAATGTCATTGACAGTCTGAAATCTCTTCCCTTTCAAGGTGATTTTAGTTGTGGGAAAAGTCAGAAGTTGCAGGGTGCTAAATCTGGGCTGTAAGGGGGTTTAGTCACCTGGGTGATTTGATATTTCACCAAAAAACTCTGCACAAGACATGATGCATGATGAAGCTGCCAATCACCAGTTGCCCATAGCTGCAGCCATTTTTGTCATATTACATCTCTCAAGTGACAAAGAACACTGAGGTAGTACTCCTTATTAATTGTTTGTCCTGGAGGAGCATACTTGTGGTGGAAAACACCTTCCCAATAAAAAAACAGTTAACATGGTCTTGATTTCCCTGCATCTTCTTCAGGCATGGAGAACCAGGTGACTTCGATTGGGACAACTGAGCCTCCATTTCTGGATCATAGCCATAGACTCATGATTCATCTCCAGTTATGACCTTCTTGAGGAAATCTGGTTCATTGGTAGTGGTTTGAATTAATTTGTTAGCAAATGCAGCATGATGTTCCTTCTGCTCTAGTAGCAGAAGCTATAGTACAAATTTTGCCACAAATTTCATGCCAAGATCCTGCGTCATAATCTTGGACACAAAATTTTGGAATCCCCAGATCAGCTTTTAGTTCTCATACTGTCAGTCGCCAAGCTTTGTTGATTGCAGCCTGTACATGTTCAGCATTCTTGTGTGTTCTGCTTGTTGTAGGCCTTCCAGAATGTGGATCACTTTTAACAGATTCTTGACCATCTTTGAAGGGTTTGAGCCACACTTTTATTTGCGCTGCACTTACTGCATCATCTCCAAAAGCCTTCTGAATCATCCAAATAGTTTCCACAGAGGAATGTTCAAGCTTAATGCAAAATATGATGCAAATTTGTTGCTCTACTTGCTCAGTCATTTTGAATGCAACAGCTACACAGTACATGTACTCATGCAAAGTCGTCTACTGCCTCCACTGACCAGTACAGTGAGGCTGTCATTGTTCACACATGTATATTCTAGTCTACTCTCCTTGGCTGTCAGGCTACATTGATGGCATGTGAACCATTCTCCTTATATTAACAATGGTTGGAGTTTCTGGGCAAACATCATAAATGTGTGTGTGTGTATACACATCTGAAATTTTGTGTCTGAGATTTTGACACAGGATCTTGACATGAAATGTGTTGTGGCAGAATTTGTTCCATAGCTTCTGCTACCAGAGCAGAAAGAAGGAACATTGTGTGTGTGTGTACACACACACACACACACACACACACACACACACCCTATGAGATAGATGATCTGCAAATATCTTCTCCCATTTTGTGGGATACCTTTTCACTTTCTTGATAGTATTCTTTGATATGCAAAAGTTTTAGATTTTGATGAAGCTCAGTTTATCCATTTCTAAAAGAAAAATGTTTGTTTTTATGTCATATCTCAGAATCAGGATCATTACCAAATCCAAAGTCATGAAATTTTCCCCCGATATTTTCTTGTAAGAGTTTTATAGTTTTAGCTCTTACATTTAGGTCTTTGATTCATTTTGAATTTTGTGTACATGTTCTATGGTAAGTGTCCTGGATAACTTATAATATTGTCAATATTCTTTGCAGGACAATGGAAACTTGGTGGAAAGTGAAATGAAATATTTGGGCAGTCCCATCACTACAATTTCAAAATTAGATAAAAATCCAAACCTAGAAAAAGACCAGGCAGAGGAGATTTCAGATGAATTGATGGAGTTTTCCCTGGAAGATCAAGAAGAGGTCAAGGTACAGTGCTCTCTGATGGTATCTTTGCACTTTTCATTCCTTCATTTTTAAATGAAGAATACTGCATATCTAATATGTTACAGTTATTGTACGAAGTGGCAGGTCTGCAGAGATCAAGAAGACTTGGTCTCTACACTTGTAACGGCTACCTGACTGATAGGGCCTCAGGTCACCATACAACTCTTCTTACTGCTGGGTGGGCAGTTCTAGTTAGTACTTTGAGTAGATCACCATCAAGTGTAATTTGGTATAGGTGATCATGGTAATGGATGGAATATACCAATTAATTCATTCACTTAACACTGGGGATACAGTAGTGACCTCAACAGCACAAGAGAGCCCCTGCTCTCACAAAGCATACATTCTAATCAGGAGGAGACAGATGAATAAAAAATAACCTTTATATTATGGTTGATAGTTAAAATACTATAAGGAAGCAGTGAGTGTCTGGATTGGGATGGGATAGAATGGGAGTTGACAGGTTTCACAGACCGAGAAGAACTCTCATCAGAGAGTGACATTTGAACAGACATTGAAGCAGTGAGGGCCAGACAAACATATCAAGACAAATGAGTTATTCCAGGTGGAAGGTAAAATAATTGCAATGCCCCTAAGGTGGGAGTGTGCTTGGCATGTTCATGGAACAGTAAGTAGGCCATTCTGGCTGGAGCAAAGTGAGCAATTGCAGTGTGCAGATGAGGGCAGAAGGCAAGATGCAGGAGGACAGATCATGTAGGGTCTTGTCAGCTATTGTAGAGACTGCAAAAACTCTGACTCAGATGGAAGCATCTCATCTGCTCCTTCAGTATTTCTTCTTTCTCTCTCCTGTATTATCACTGTTCTTTCTCCTAGATTAACGGTTCTCAAACTTTTGATATCAGAAATCCTTTACTATCTTTTTTCTTTCAATTTTATTTTGTATTGGTTTCAGGTGTTAGAGTCTTAAAATTATTGAGAACTCCTTGCCTTGTACCCTAACAAGAAAAGCATCCAGTTTTTCTCCATTGAGAATGATGTTTTTGTAGGTTTCTTGATATGCCACTTATCAGGTTGAGGGAAGTTCCTTTCTATTCCTAGTTTGCTGAGAAATTTTAGCAGAAACAGATACTACATTTTGTCAAATACTTTGCATCTCATAAGATAATCATATGGGTTTCCTTTTTTAACCTGTTAATATAGTGAATACATTAATTTTCGAAAGTTAAAACAACCTTGCATTCCTGTGATAAGCTTATTTGGTCATGGTATATTATCATTTATATATATATATTTTAGATTTTTGTTGAGAAGTTTTGAGTCTGTGCTAAGTAGAGATACCGATTTTTTATGTTTTTGAGTGTGTGTGTTGTCTTAGGTATTGGTATCAGTGTAATGATGTCATCATTTGGGAGGAATTCTCTTTTCAACGTTCTGAAAGTGTTTGTGTAGAATTGCTTTTTATTTCTTTATTTAAATGTTAGGCAGAATTTACCATTTAAGTCACCTGGGCCTGAGCTGTTCTTCATGGGAAGTTATTAAATTACTAATTCAGTTTCTTTACTTTTTGCAGGTGTAGTCAGATTTTCTGTTCCTTCTTGAGTCAGTTTCAGTAGTTCTTGTCTTTTTAGGAATTTGTCCATGTAATCTAAGTGTTCTCACTTATTGGCACATAGTTGTTCATAGTAGTCCCTTATCATCTTTTCATTATTTCTCTAAGGTTGGTAGAAGTGTCCTCCTTTTCATTCCTAAGTTTAGTAATTTGAGTCTTCTCTCTTTTTTTCTGGTCAGTCTAGCTAAAAGGTTTATCAATTTTGTTGATCTTTTCAAAGAACCAACTTTTGTTTTTCTCTGTTTTTCTATTCTCTATTTCATTAAGTTTTGCTCTTATTATTCTTATTTTCTTCCTTCTGCTTGCTTTAGATTTAGTTTCTTCTTTGATGGAAATTTAGGTCATTGACTTAGTATCTTTCTTCTTTATTATAGCCATTTGCAGCTATACATTTTCACCTAAACACTACATTAGATGCATACCCTAAGTTTTGGTATATTGTGTCTAAGTTTTTCAAGTACCTAGCCCTGGCTGGTGTAGCTCAGTGGATTGAGTACGGACCTGCGAACCAAATGATCGCAGTTCAATTCCCCATCAGGGCACATGCCTGGGTTGCAGGCCAGTTCCCAGCAGGGAATGCACCAGAAGCAACCATACACTGATTTAAAAAAAAAAAAAGTATCTTCTAATTTCCACTGTGCTCTTTGTTGACCCACTGATTATGTAGGAGTTTGTTGTTTGATTTCCATATATTTCTGAATTTTCCAGATTTTTTTCCTGTTATTAATTTCTAATTATTCCTTTGTGGTCAGAAAACATACTTTGTATGATGTCAATAGTTTAAAAGTTATTGAGGCTTGTTTTATGACCTGACATATGGGCTACCCTAGAGAATGTTCCATTTGTATTTGAGAAATATGTATATTATGTTGTTGTTCAGTGCAGTTTTATCCACATCTGTTAGGTCTAGAATCGGGGGTGTCCAACCCGCGGCCTGCAGGCCACATGTGTCCCAGGATGGCTGTGAATGTGGCCCAACACAAAATCATAAATTTACTTAAAACTTTTTTTCTCATCACTTTTTGTTAGTGTTTGTGTGTATTTTTTTAAAGATCTTATTTATTTACTTTTTGAGAGAGGGGAAGGGAGGAAGAAAGAGAAGGGGAGAAACATCAGTATGTCAGAGATCGCATACACCCACCTGGGGACCTGGCCCACAACCCAGGCATGTGCCCTGACTGGGAATTGAACTGGCGACCTCCTGGTCCTCAGGCTGGCACTCAATCCACTGAACCACACTAGCCAGGGGTAGTGTTTATGTGTTTAATGTGTGGCCCAAGACAACTCTTTTTCTTCCAGTGTAGCCTAGAGATGCCAAAAAGTTGGACACCCTTGGCTCTAGATGGTTTATAGCATTGTTTCAATTTAGTTTTTGAGCTAATAATACCATACCAAATGGAGCCATCCTTTTGCCATTCTTACCAGGGTCTTTGCATTTGTTTTTCCTTCGGCCCGGAACATTTTTTCCAGAGGCAACACATGATTTTATTGCTCATTTCAGCCTCATTTTTCCACATTTGTCACCTGGTCAGAAAGGTCTTTCCTTGACAAGCTTCCCAACCCTAGTATTTTAAAAATATTTTTATTTTTCTTTATTTTTTACTTAAAGCATTTATCACTGTATACAAATATAGAATATATTTATTTATCTGTCTCTTCTACTCTCTTATTCACTGCTCTGTCACCCAGAAGTTACCCAAAAATTGTTAAGCAGGTGTGTGGATATGGAAGTCTGAAAATAAGAGCAGAGGTCTTGACTGGAAATAGAAATTTGAGAGTCATCAGCATAGAGGAGAAATTTAAATTTATGGGGGGAAAGAAAAATCACCTATGGCAAGAATGAAGAGATAAAAAAGAACCAGGAGCTAGCCCTGATGAATCCAGCATCTGTTGGAGATTTGGTAGGTGAGGAGACCCAACAAAGAAGGCTGAGAAGGAACAGCAGAGAGATGGAAGCATCACAATTCTTTTAGTATAAGGGTTGTCTACATTGGAACTAAACTAAAAAACTAGGAGGTTCTGCCATTAAAGTCAAGGAAGAAAGTATTAGCCAACTCAGTGGAAGCCTCTGCAGTTCAGAAAGATATATGCATTATGGCTGAAGAAGCAATGATTGGATGTGGCAGCATGAAGATTGTTGATGACCTTGATGAGCAGTAGAGCGATGCAGAGAGTAGCGGGCCTGTGTGTTGAGGAGTGTATAGGCCATGAGGAAATGGTGATGCCTTCTCAGTTTCCAAATTACCCTTCCTTAAAAAAAATCTAAATACATTTGTCTGTTTTATAAAATCAGTATATGATAGCATAGAATATTCAAATAAACAAAAAGAAGTTGTTAACAAATGCCCATAGTTTCACAGGCCTGAGATAATTACTGTTAACACTTGTATAGGTTCTTCCAGACACTTTTCTTCTATACAATTTTTTTCTTTGATTAAAGTGGTATTACAAAGCATTTTTCTAAATTACTTAATGATATCATGAACTTATTTCCATGCCAATGAACTTAATCTACAATGTACATATTGTATAATTGCAACCTATAATATTTGGTATATGATTTGTTTAACTAAGACTTTGTTATTGAACATTTAATTTATTAGTAATTTTCTTTCTGTTTATAAACATGCTGGGATATCCATCTCTACAGCCAGTTTTTTTGTGCATATTTTTATTTCCTTAGCAACAAGTGGACTTACTAAAACAAAAAGCATACAGTTTTTAAATGATTCTCTACTTCTTTCATCCCCTGATTTTGAGAACTGGGGTATCATTTTCAGGACTTAGTTCTAAAGAAGACAGTCTCTTGCTGTAACTTTAATATCACTCAGATGCTGGAGGAAAATTCTAAGCAGGGGTACCTGACCGGTGATTTCTCCAAGGTGAGTGTGGGTGCATTTTTCCTGTATTTCAGTGAGTCATTCTGGGTCTGAATCTTTTCTTCTCTGCTTTCAGAGAACACTAGGTATAATTATGCATCCTCACCAAGTACAGACAACCTGAAGGTGCTGTAGTGGTAGATCTAAGCTCTAAGCCTTTTCATTGAGAAAGTATTCCTGTTCATTCTGGGGAAAATCTAGAACAGTGGGGAAAGTATGAGGCTTATTACCTTTTTTCTTTTTAAAACTATCCTTTGAAATTATGTAAGTAATACTTGGTCATTACAGAAAAGGTAGAAAATGAAATCTACCCCACATCTTTTAAAAATTATTTATTTACTTATTTTAGAGAGAGGTTAAGAGAGGGAGATAGAGATGGAGAGAAATGTCTATTGGTTGCCTCTTACACGTCCCCAGTTGGGGACCTAGCCCACACCCTAGGACTGTGCCCTGACTGGGATCAAACAGGTGACCTGTTAGAAACCCCAAGTCAGGTCTCCTTCCATCACCATTTATCCCCCTTTATCCCCTTCTACCACCCACCCCCTTTTACCATATTGTTGTCTGTCTATAAGGTTTTTTTGCTTAGTCCCTTCACCTTTTTTATCCAGTACCCCAACCCCCTCCCCTCTGATAGCTGTCAATCTGTTCTTTGTATCTATGAGTCTGTTTCTATTTTGTTAGTTAATTTTGTTCACTAGATTCCACTATAAGTGAAATCATATGGTATTTGTCTTTCTCTGTCTGGCTTATTTCACTTAGCGTAATACTCTAAAAGTAAAGGGATGGAAAGAGGTATTCCATGCAAATGATTTTTTTTTCATGGAAATGAGAACAAAACTTGGGTAGCAATACTTATATCTGACAAAATAGACCTTAAAACAAAGGCAATAGTAAGAGACAAAGAAAAACACTACATAATGATAAAGGGAACACTCCAACAAGAGGATATAACCCTTGTAAACATTTATGCACCCAACATAGGAGCATGTAAATATGGAAAGCAAATCTTGATGGACAGATAGGGAGAGACTGATAGTACTGCAGTCATAGTAGGGGATTTTGACACCCCATTCACATTAATGGATAGATTTTCCAGATAGAAAATTAACAAGGAAAGAGCAGTCTACCCCAAATCTTATCAACCAGAGTATAAGTGCTTTTAACATCTTGGTGTATATCTCTCCAGAGTTTTTAAAAATTCTTCGATTGATTGATTGATTTTTAGAGAGAAAGGAAAGGAGAGAGAAACATCTGTTTGTTGCTACACTTATTTATGAATTCATTGGCTGATTCATTTTCATTTTTTAAAGATATTATTTATTTATTTTTTAGAGAGAGGGAAGGCAGGGAGAAAGAGAGGGAGAGAAACATCTGTTTGTCAGAGATTACACACACCCAACTGGGGACCTGGCCCACAACCCAGGCATGTACCCTGACTGGGAATTGAACCAGTGACCTTTTGGTTCACAGGCTGGTGCTCAATCTACCGAGCCATACCAGCTAGGGCTCTCCATACTTTTCTCTATGCATTTTCACAAACACACATGTACATACACAACACATTTATTGGTTTTCCACAAAAACTGATTTTTACTGTTTCGTGATCTGTTTTTTCACCCTCATTTATTATATCAGGAACCTTTTTTCCATGTCAGTAAAGAGTTCTGCTTCTTTCAGAATAAGCAGAGTTCTGCTTATTTCATCATTTTTAATAGCAGTACAGTATTTTATTTTTTGGCTGCCCATAATTTTTTGATAAGTACCTTCTTGTAGAATATTTTATAATTTTTCCTTGTGAAAAATTATACCAAGATGCACATAGTTATAGCTAAATCTAAAACTTCATACTCATTCTTAATTAGTTCTTTAAACTCATTTCCTAGAAATAGAACTGCTATAGTTTTCTAGAAGTGGAATGCACATTATAGAGACCATTGGGGGTTTAAAGGTCATTTGGAAAGAAGGACAATATATGGGCATTTGATCTCAAATTGGGGTTTAGAAAATTTGCTGTTATTTTAGCCCTTGGTATTTCTAGGTATGTGCGCTGCCAACTGTGTCAGGGAGACACCAAGATCTGAAGTACATCAACCCAGAAACAGTAAGCAGATTTCTGGAGATGGTAACTGGTTACATAAGCCACCATCTGGTCTGTTCTGTCCCTAAAATCCCCACTTCCAATTGTATTTCTCTCACTGTGTTCACTAACCAAGCCCCTTATTCAATTGAAGCTGTATTAAAGGACTCACTTTTATCCCTTTCTTCTGTCACCTTTGTTTTCAATTAAATAAATGATATATAATTTTCATGAAAGGAAAAAAATGAAAGAAAGGAAAATTAAAGCAAAAGGAGCAAAATCCCAAAGGGAAAAACCACTTAGTTTGGGTGACCTTACATCCTGGTAAACCTTTTAGGTTTACATGTTATAATTTATGCCTACTAATACAGAGTAATTATTAATAGTGTTCTCTTTCACTCTAAAAAGTGTCCCAGTTTGTGCAATAATTATTTGGTCACCCTACCCATAATCTTGCCACCAGAGACAACCACAAGTAATATTCTCCTTAGGGCCCTCAAGATTTTATATTCTGGCATATGCTTTATAAAAATCAGGTCATGATGAATATGTAGTGTTACAATTAGCTTAGTTATCCTTTTCTTTTTAAGATTTTATTTATTTATCTTTAAAGGGGAAGGGAAGGAGAGAGGGAGAGAAACATCAGTGTGTGGTTGCTTCTCACACACCCACTCCTGGGGACCTGGCCCACAACCCAAGCATGTGCCCTGACTGGGAATCGAACCACGACCCCTTGGTTCACAGGCCTGCGCTCAATCCACTGAGCTACACCAGCCAGGGCTAGTTATCCTTTTAATGGCTATATAATAGTCTATTATACTGACATGTGTAATTTATTTAATTAAACCCCTATTATTTGTGATATTTTGATAACCTATAACAATGCTGAGGTGAATAGTAGTGTACCACATTTTTTTGTACTTTTCTGTTTTCTTAAGGTGTTAGGGGGAAAATTGCTGAGTCAAAGTATAATTACGTTTATTTTTATATGACCTTACAAATGCATATAAAAGTAGGAGCCTCCAGAAAGTTGGAATCAATTTGTACTCCTCCATGCAGCTTACATTTCCTCCTCTGAGTGTTAAACTTTTCTCCTATATTCTTTTCTAGAAGACTTGCTTTCTTCCTTTATATTGGGGGGTGGGAACCATTCCCCATCTCTTCTTGCAAACTCTAGATCTTTAGCTGCTACCTGTGCTACTGCAGAGTCTTTGTGTATTTCTGAAAGACTGATTCTAGCCATGCCTGTCTTAAGATGAGTAGCTTCAGTAGGGTTTTTCTGTTGTTGTTTGTTTGTTTTTCCTTTCTGGTATCCTGGTAATACCAGCTATTTTGGTTCTCTAAAAAGGCCACTTCTTATTCTATCCTCATATGTGGGGTAGGGCTGAACCATTGCAACATTTCAAATACAGGGGAATCCTGGGTGACTAAAGGGAATATAAATCAGAAACTGTGTGACTGGCACTTTTTTCCTTGAGAGTGACAGTGAGCAGAGTATTCAGTCATAGTTTGTGCGCAGGTGGCTGCCTTACTGTTGGGGAAATTCCAGGGTCTGATTGAGAAGTTTTATATCATCGATTGCCGCTATCCGTATGAGTACCTGGGAGGACACATCCAGGTGAGGATTAATTGGGGACATTAGCAGGAGAAGGGGTGGAGATAGCTCTTTTTTTTTTAAAGATTTTATAAGATTTTATTTATTTATTTATCTTTAGAGGGGAAGGGAAGGAGAGAGGGAGAGAAATATCAATGTATGGTTGCTTCTTGTGCATCTCCTGCTGGGAACTGGCCTCCAACTCAGGCATGTGCCCTGACTGGGAATTGAACCATGATACTCTGGTTCGCAGGCCCACGCTCAATCCACTGAGCTACACCAGCCAGGGCAAGATAGTTCTTTACTAAGAAATCTTTGGCCAAAATGTCCTGTGAACCCTAGAACCAGGGCAGACACTATACCTTTGGAGTGCATCAAAGCTGCAAGTCCTCATTGTTATTCTAATTCCTTATACGTTGAGCAATTTACTTTCTCCTTCTCTTCTAGACCAATCTCCCTCTTTTTTGTAGGAGCCAAGTGTTCTTTTTTTTTTCTGAATATTTTATTTGTTTATTTTAGAGAGGAAGGGAAAGAGAAAGAGAGGGACAGAAACATCAATGTGTGGTTGCTTTTCATGCACCCTCTACTGGGGACCTGACCTGGCCTGCAACCCAGGCATGTTCCCTGACTGGGAATAGAACCTTTGACCCTTTGGTTCACAGGTCAGTGCTCAATCCACTGAGCCACCACCAACCAGGGCCCAGGTGTTCTTACCTGGAAATAAAAACATTAATTCAAGGATTGAGAAGCACATTGCAAACATTTACTGCTCATAGACATTCCTCACAATGAGCCTACACTTCAGGCAATTTAGTTCTACAAGCTTTTATTGAGCAACTACTACATACCAAGCTCAATGCTAGGCCCTGGGGGTAGATACAGAGATACAATGAGGTCTGTTTTCTGAAAGTGCTTATAGTCTGGCCTTCCTCTCCTGGATTTCCCTAGGTGTTATGGTATCCCAAGTGTTTCTAAGTTCTGTCACTGTCCACAGATTTCCTTGAGAAAATAACTTATTAAAATTCTTCTACAGGGAGCCTTAAACTTGTACAGTCAGGAAGAACTATATAACTTCTTTCTGAAGATGCCTATTGTCCCTTTGGATGCCCAGAAAAGAATAATTATCCTATTCCACTGTGAATTCTCCTCAGAGAGGGGTCCCCGAATGTAAGTGTCTACATGGGGTAGGGTGTGTGATGGAAATTGAACTTGAGTTAGAAATTATAAGGGAACCTTCCCAGACCAGTTCACAGAGACTGAATAAATGACTACTGTCTACTATAGGTTGAAGAATGGTACAGATTAGTAAGAAGAGGGTTTCTACAATTCAAAAGTTTGGAGCAGTGAAGGGGGGAAAAATAGGGAACTAGGCACCAGTGGAGGAAAGGAGAAAGAATGCCACTAATTAGACTTTATTGTGCAAAAATAATAAGATCTGGAGGTCCTTATGAGGTTAGTAATAATCTATTCTTTCTCCCTTTCCCCATTGTTTTTTTTTTTGACCATGGAATCCTGACCTTGCTTCTTTCCATTCCACACATCCCCGGGTTTTCTCTAAAGGTGCCGCTCTCTGAGAGAAGAGGACAGGGCCCTGAACCAGTATCCTGCACTGTACTACCCAGAGCTGTATATCCTCAAAGGGGGCTACAGAGACTTCTTTCTAGAATATATGGTAAAGGATGGAGCATGTTGGGCAATGGGGAAGCCCAGGTTTGGGGGATCCAACTTCAGCATGCAACTCCCAGGGCCTATAAGCCCCTTCAAGAAGAAACTGCTGCTCCTTCTTAGCCACTACCAGCACTCTTTATTATACTTCGTAGGCAGAGTTGAGGAACCTAGAGAATCCCTTACCCTGTCCCTGACCTTTCAGGTGCTGTGTGAACCACAGAGCTACTGCCCTATGCATCACCAGGACCATAAGGAGGAGCTGCTGAAGTGTCGAAACCAGAGCAAAGCATGGGAAGGGGAACGGCAGCTGCAGGAACAGATTGCCTTGCTGGTAAAGGATGTGAGCCCATGATAGATCAGTTGCTGGCTGCCTAGGAGTCACTGCAGACATTGTAGAAACTCCAGGTAGAAACAGGCCATCTTCTACATGGCTACGCTCAAGATTGTTAAAAGGATATCTGCAAATCAGCAGGCTGCCAAAGTGATGTAATCCTAGATCTTGGAATTGCCTAGGTTTCAGTAGAGCTGCTGGCTGGTGGTGAAATCCTGGAGCAGGCTCTGTAAGCTGTAGCTTCGGGTTGCACTGAAATGTGTGTTGCTTCAGGGAGTGCTTGCACTCTCTAACTACTAGCGTCTTCTCACAAGCCAGCCAGCTCTTTTTCTCCCTGAGCTGCTGGCTATGCAACACATTTGACCACCTTCTTTTTCTGTATTACCCTTGTTTCTTTCCCTCTCTTTCCTTTTCTTAAATGGGAAAATAAACATTGTAGAATGAGAGATGTGATTATAAGCTTTGTCTGTTCCTAGAAGATTTATATGAAGAAGTGATCACCAAACTAGACTCCTTCCAACATAAAGGTATAACCATGTCTAATTCAGAGCTGAGACCTCATTGCTTTTTTGTAGATCAAGCAGTGGTTCTCAAAGTTTAGACCCTGGATGATCAGTATCATCTGCATTTGTTTGAAATACAAAATTTCAGGCCCCAGTCCAGACCTGTTAAATCAGAATCTCTAAGGTGAGGGCCCAGAAATATGAGTTTTTAAAAAATTTTTTGTAGGTGGTTCTGATCCATGCCAAGGCTTGAGATCCACTGCTCTGGAATAAAAAACCTTTTCAAGTGCACTCTTCAGCAATTTTCCAGGCTTTCCTATCCTAAAGACCATTCCATGGTATGAGTTACATAAAAGTGTATCCCAGACTCAGCCCTTTGGTATCTAGGCTCAGAAAACCAGATGAGTGGCATCATCTATGACAAATGAGAGGTTGAGTTTGGCTCAAAATATTCCTTGTCTACACTTTCAATGGAGTTTTGACTTTTTCCATTTCCCAAACTCTTCACCACTCCATATCACAACTCATAAATACAAGTTTACATTTCAGGTGGTTGGAAGTAGAGATTTGTGCTATATTTTTTTTCTTGTGGAATAAAAGTACCAAGCAGAATCAGACTTAAGACCTTTTAAATGGCATTCTTCATGGATAACCCAGGCTTTCCTTTCTTAGAGCTTTTTAAGGCTAGCAGTAGGCTTTTGTCTGCTTAGTGAGATACAGTCCTGTTTGGCCTGGGTTGGCAATGGAATGGACTATGAACATTGTCATTCTCCTGAATTAAACTTAGTAATAGTGATAGCTCAGGACTGAAAAAAGACAAAGGGCCCTGAAGCCTAGGCTGAAATAGGCTCACAGGTTCTGGAGCAGGGAGACTTTTTCAAAGTAAGTGGGTAGAGAGAGGGCTGGAATGATTTTTAGAGTGCGCTCTTCTGGAGTGTGGAGTGCATGCCTCACAGCAGAGGGCGCTGCTGCATTCTCTAAGCCAGCCACTGGAGCGGGCAGCCTCCACTGCTAGCAAGCACCTGTCTGCCCAGAGGGAAGATATCTCTCTCTGGCCTCACTGAGCCCTTGAGCCCAAAGCTAGAAGAGGTAGAGGGAAAAAAGGAGAGAAAAGCTGCTGCCCACCCCCACACACTTACCCCTACTAAGCAAGAACTCTTAGTAGCCCAAGGAGGAAACTGCTTGAAACACTCCCAACTTCCAAGTGTGAGGAGGGGTCCCTGACTCATTGCCTATCCTAGTAGGTCATTTCCTGATAATTCTCCCCAGAAAGGTAGAACTACGCCCCCACCTGGGAAGAGACTGGTACACATGCATTCACATTTCAGTAATCTTAGTAAGTGGAAATTCTGAGTTGCAAAACAAAAAAACAGGGCTTAATTAGTTATCAGCTTTGTGAAAAATTATGTTTGCCTAAAAGGCAACGTTTTCCTATATAATTTTTCATAACATCCTCCTACCATATAGGTACCGTGTAATTTGATTCATATTATTTCCAGGAACAATAATAATAGCTAACACATTTCAGGTACTTACTGCATTTGAGATTTTTTATGACCTTGCATTTATATAAACTAATTTAATTTTCACAGTACTGTGAGGCAGGTACTGATTATTATGCACATTTTACAGATAAAGAAATGAACATGTTTTAAGATCACACAGCTAGTGAATGGTGGAGATGGGATTTGAACCTAGGCAGTATGGCTCCAGAGTCTGTGCCCTTAATGGATTTTGCTGTTAAGCAAATCCTCACCAAAGAACAATGTGCCTTTCTAGAGCTGGCATTGCATTGTGTGCTAAGTATGTAGCCTCAGTTGTAGGTTCTTGAGAAGTCAGGGCCATTAAGGGTTGCTTGGGTTTGGCAGATGAGGCTAAAAGCAGGCACTAAGACCCCAGCCCATAGACCTCAGCACAAGGCTGTTTAGGGAGTTAGCTCTGCACTAGTATCCTTGTGTGACTAGTATTCATTCATCATGAAGTCAAGTAATAAAACATGGAGACTTTTTGGCATAAACACTGTTTCTGGTTGTTAATAGCCTAGGACCTGGTTGACCTCTGCTGTAAGAGTGAGGAGCATTCTTTTTTCCTTCTCAGGAGTATAAAGTGGGAGGCATTAGGATTCTCTTCCCCATTCAATTCAGGTAAGTGTTTAAAAACATATGTATCTGCAGTTGTCAATTCTGAGTACCATAGATATTCAAATATGACACAGTCCCTGCACTCAAAAAACTGATGAGGTAGAAAATGATGCCCTATGTTCCCATCCCTGGCCCTGTAATACATTCAGCAAAAGGAAGAACTGTGCGTAGTCTCCAGCTCCAAAACAGCAAGGTGGGTGGTGGAGGCTGGTCAGGTTCACAGATAATTAATTCCTGTGTGCCATTTGGGATGATACCACTTTATTCAGTGTTTGCTATGTGTCAAGCACTAGGCTAAACACTTTACTCAATATATACTTATTTAATTCTCAACAACTGTTAAATGTATGAAGTAGATACTGTTATCATTATTTTTATAGATGAAGAAACTGAAGCACAGAAAAATGAAGTGATGTGCTCAAGGTCACCCAGCATGTGTTGGAAATGTCATCTGAACCTAGGCAGTCTGTAAAGCTTGTGCTCTAAACTATTTACTATATTGCTAATGTCCTGGATTAGGGTAGCTGCAGGAATTAAAGCTTAATAGTGAGAAAGGACTTGATAGAAAGCAAGAAACCAAGATTACAAGTGAAAGTGGAGTAAGATACAGGGTCTTTGGACCTTGGAACCCAAATCAGTAGGTTGCATGCCACCCAGGGCAGGGTTTGTGTCTTAATCATTTTTGCACCTGGCACAAAGCTGGACCCATAATCGGTCTCAAAAGACATTATTGAGGTGAATAATGGCTGAATAACATCATCATTGTAGAAAGGACTGGCTCATTCGTCATTATGCACTAGGTTCCCAACAGCACTGCTCCTTATCTAGCAGGTGTCGGCAGTCATAGAAGACATGTTTGTGGGAGAGAGTTTGACTGGAAGTGTCAGTCTAGAGTCATATTTATTTGTAGAGGCTTTTTCAACCCTCCCCTAGCTTTGGTTAATGATGTGAAGCTCTCCAATCCCATGCCCAGAAATATGCTCCAGGCGTCTCACTTTTTTAAAAAGGCTAGCCTCTTACAGGTAGGACTGGACATTGCTCTTCGCCCACCAGTTTAATCTTGTTCCAGCCTTCCTGGTCCATTCCATGGGGACAGCATTGAGTAGACACTGAGGAGGCACCCTGAACAAATGCCTTTCCCAGCCTACCACCCTACCCCACAGTTGGTTGCTGAAGGAGAGAGATTACGTAGAGGTGACACCCCTTGACCACATCACATCTTTGCCGATTTGTATGCCCCAGCCCTTTTCCCCACCACCTGACATTGTTACCTTTGCTTTGTCAATTCCGTTTTGAAACTGTTAGAGTGGAGTGGAGAGTGGGGAATTAATCCCCAGCTACTGGTGTTCTAGCCTTATTGGAGGGGAGGACTTGGGAAAGGCACATTAAAGGTAGGATGGAGCTGGGGGAAAACCAGCCCTGTGCAAAAGCTGAGTAGCCAGATGTTCACTTTCAGAGCTCTCCAATAAGACTGGCAGGGCAGATATAGATTAAAAAGAAGCACAAACTCCATTTAAAGTGCATTACAGCTCAGGAATCAGCTCCCCCTGGGCAGGGGGAGGGAAGAAAGGGCACAAGAGGCCACATCAGTCTCCTTCCTTATCTAGGGCTACACGTCTCTCTCCTAGCTTTGTGACGGGTGATTTACACCCCTGGCTGGAATGACTCTCTTTCTGGGATGATTACATCGGCAAATGCCCCCCAGAGGCCACAGCAGGATGGCCATACTCAGAAGCAGCAGCCAATAAATCTCAGAGGTTTATATCACGCTTCTCAATACCCTTCCTCCTGGCCCTCTGCCACCGCGGCTGTGAAAGTAAGGAAAGGGCTTTGTTGAAGGGTTAGGGGATGAAAACCTCCACTTCCTTTCATCACACTCTTTTTCTCTCTTTCTAAGCGCCGCTTTATTCTCACTCTGTAAGTCCGTCTGCCTCTATGTTTACCCTGGGAGCAGGTGGGAATTGGCCCTAGGCCCAATAAGTACCCTCGTTCTTATGTATAGAAATCCTGGGCTCTGGACACAGCTGTGTTTCTACCTAGCTGTTTAATCTCCGGAGAGTCGCTTGCTCTCTGGAATAGCATCTGAAAATGATGAGCCTCCTAAGTGGTCTCTCCAGCCACCTTCCTCAGTGATCTTGTCTTTCTTCCAGGAAAAGCTCTGCTATTTAGTCCTAGGAGGGTTTAATCCTTCCATCCTCCCTCATGACACTGTAGGGGCCGGCAGAGTCGAGTCTGGCAAATGTCCTGGGATCTGGCACCAGATCTGCTCCCAGCTGTCTGGGACCCATGTTTGCAGAACCTTGGGGTTAAAGGCAATGACCAAATCTTGCCCTCGAAGATACTTATGAGGGGCAAATGAAACCATAAATGTGAAAATTCTAAGAAAAAATATACTAGAAATGCAAGTGCCCTAGTGCTGGTTTGTTCAAGTTGTATTAAAAGATTTCATTTGTGACGGTTGTTCCTTGGTGGTAGTGGGGTGGAGTGGGGTGAAAAAGGGTGCTGCTTTTTTTGTTGTTGTTGTAAACATGTAGAATCCCCCAAATCTCCAGCGGTAGCTTTCCCAATATCTCTCAGACGGGAGCCGGGAGCCGACAGCAAGTTGGTCGGCACAGTCTTCTAGCCGCTCCTGCTTCGAGGACACTTGCCCTCCGCCCCAATGCCGGGGCTTTCTTTCGCCAAACTGTAGAAGAAGCGGGCATTTGTCCACTTTGGATGGAGTTGGAGGGCGGCGCCCAGGACCCTGATGGGAGCATTGGCGCCTTCTGTGCGAGGAGGGGCTCTAGAAGGCGGTGGTGGGAGGGGCAAGGGAGGGGCCCCCAGCTTGCAGAGTTCCAGTGTTAGGAGTGAGGGGAGCAGGAATAGGTGCACGCAGAACGCCCCGGGAGCAAACTCCGCAGTCCCTACACCCACCCCCCACATGGCGCACCCCGAGAACCTGCTACCAGCGCTGTCCGTGCTCCTGCTACTGCTGCTACCGTCGCCGTTGCTCGGAGCTGGTGAGTGCCCTCCCTGCCTACACCCAACCTGCTCCTGAACGGGGACTGGGGAGAGTGTAAGCAGGGACCTGTCAGCACTGCCCAGAGAGGACTCAGACACCGCATGGCTACCTGGTCCCGGCTCTCCATCCCTTTGAGCCTGAGGATCTAGAGGAGGGAGCCCAGGGTGCCAGGAAGGGGCTGGGTCCCATGCGTAATAAAGTGTCCGAACTGTTGTAGATTGAGTCGAATGCAATAGTCAGGGCACTCAAACACATCCTAGTCACCGGTTCCCCTCTCCCCTCTACCGTGGCGCATCTGCACAGTCACAGAAGTGTCCGCAGCCAGACCACTTCCACAACAGCATCTGTAGGAGACGGGGAGATCTCTGTTTGCTCCACGTGGGCTTCATCTCTTCCACCCTCTGTAAGGAGTGGAGAAGTGGATACTACGTAAAGAGGAAAATAAGTTATTGCTAGAACTGACTTGAAACAAATTAGGTTTGTAAATTGCTGCCAGAACATGCTAACACCATTATTTGGTTGTATTGCTGAGAATATTGCTCAGTACCAACGTACCCCTCTTAAGGATATAGTTTTTGTTACTATTTTGATTACAGGAGAAAACTCGCTACTGGGCAAGATAGTTTTTCCTTGCAAGCTGCCAGGCAGTGCCTTACCTTATTATTGATATCGATTGATATTTTGTGGAATATGTAGTTCAGGACCTCATTTCCTAACCATGTCATTGCCTTAAGGAAGGGCAGCCAGGGGTTCATGATCCCAGGGAATGGGATCCCACGGCCTTTTGGAGTGGAATGGGTGCTTGGAGCCTCACTGTGGGGTTCCTGCCCAGAGCCTGAGTGGAGGGAACCCAAAGCAGAGACCATACATGGTCTGTGACCTGCATCCACAAGGTAAGTACTAGAGAAATGCAGTCTTGGCTGAAAGACAGATATGGAAGGAAGGAGGGAAAGGACTAGCCAGTACAGACTGACTCCATCAGTAAATTGGGGCAGCAAGATTTCACTGATCTGATTTGAATGCTCAGGACATTTCACTAACCCTAACAGTATGGCTGTCTGTCAGGATCAAGGATAAATGTGGGGCACCTTTTCCCCATCTTCCGTTGAGTCACAAATGCTCTAAAATCCACTGCTGCTCAGACCTGGACGATCGGTTTAAAAATGAGAGAGGTTTACTTTTGCAAATAGTTGCAACTCAATATTTAGTTCAATTAAAACAATGAGGCTTGGACCTGCTAAATTTCTTTCAGCAAGCATTAATTGGGTTCCTACCAGAAGTAACATCTTAAACATTTAGTATTTCTCAAACTATTTAAAATCATGTCCTCTTTTTGGTGAAGATAAAAATCTCATGCCTTTCTTAAATATCTTTTGAAACTTCAAAAGCTATGCTTTTTATCTTTCACTTATATAATTATCAAATGTGCTGTTTTGAACCACACATTTACTTTGAAAATTCTGATATACCCCTAAAAGGGGCTTAATGTCTCTCTTCTTTATCCTCTCCATTCAGAAGCTCTGGTTTAATCCAGTTTTCTCATCTTATGTTTGTGAAGCTAAGGTCCAGAAAGTGAATTAAATTCCCTATGTAGAGCTGGGACTAAGGTTTGGTGAGTGAAGGAGCTGCCAAGAAACTCAGCAGTCGAGATAAAGAAGGTTTTAATGCAATATTTTTTTAATCAAAATTAATGCCAAAAAATCTGTGATGAACAACATATCAAAATTTTAAGTAAAAAGACTAACGATGTCACGCTGAGGCATATTGGAGCTTGAAGCAAAAGGAAAACTCAGTAATACTGATCTTGTCTTTACTCATTGAATGTAGCACCGATTCTTTTTTTTATTTGTTATATTACAGTTGTCTCAATTTTCCCCTGTTGCTCCCCCCCCACCTCTGCTCCCACAGTCAGTTCCCACCCTGTTGTCTGTGTCCATGGGTCATTTATACGTATTCTTTAACTGAGTCCTTCCCCTCATTTTCTCCCTTATACCACCTCTCTCCCACTCCTGGTCCCTGTCATTTTGTTTCTTGTTTCCACTGCCTCTGGTTCTATTTTGCTTGTTTGTTTGTTTAGTTCATTAGGTTCCTGTTATAGGGGAGATCATATGGTATTTGTCTTTTGCCACCTGGCTTATTTCACTTAGCATAATACTCTTCAGTTCCATCCATGCTGTCACGAAGGGTAGGAGTTCCTTCTTTCTTTCTGTTGCATAGCATTTCATTGTGTAAATGTACCACAGTTTTTGATCCACTCATTTACTGGTGGGCACTTGGGCTATTTCCAGCACTTGGCTATTGTAAGTAGCACTGCTATGAACATTAGGGTGCATAGATTCTTTTGAATTGGTGTTTCAGGATTCTTAGGGTATAATTCCAGCAATAGAATCACTGGGTCAAAGGGCAGTTCTATTTTTGTTTGTTGAGGAAATTCCATATTGTTTTCCAGAGCGGTTGCACCAGTCTGCATTTCTACCAACAAATGTACTAGGGTTCCCTTTTCTTTGCACACTTGCATACTTGCCAGTACCTGTTGTTTGTTCATTTGTTTACAATGGCCATTCTGACCCGTGTGAGATGGTATCTCATTGTGGTTTTAATTTGCATCTCTCTGATGCTAGTGATGTTGAACTTTCTTTCATTTGCCTATGGGTCTTCTGTATGTCCTCCTTGGAGAAGGGTCTGTTCAGGTCCTTTGCCCACTTTTTTAAATTGGATTCTTTATTATTCTGGCATTGAGTCATATGAGTTATTTATATATTTTGGAAATCAAACCTTTGTCTGAGGTATTGTTGGCAAATATGTTTTCCCATATGGTTGGTTCTCTTTTCATTCTGATGATGTTTTCTTTTTAAACTTTTTAAAAGATTTTATTTATTTATTTTTAGAAAGAGGAAGGGAGGGAGAGAAACGTCAATGTGTGGTTGCCTCTTGTACACCTCCCACTGGGGACCTGGCCCACAACCCACACATGTGCCCTAGACTGGGGATCAAACCGGCAACACTTTGGTTCACAGGCTGGCACTCAGACCACTGAGCCACACCAGCCAGGGCTGATGATGTGTTCTTTAGCTGTGCAGAAGCTTTTTAATTTGATGCAGTCCCATTTGTTTATTCTTTCCTTTATTTCCCTTGCTCTATTGGCAAAAAGATTGCTGGCTGGGATATCTGAAATTTTACTGCTTATGTTTTCCTCTAGGACTTTTATGGTGTCATGGCTTATGTTTAAGTCTTTTATCCCTTTTGAGTTTATTCGGGGGTATGGTGTAAGTTGGTGGTCTAGTTTCATTTTTTTGCATGTACCATTCCAGATCCTCCAGCACCATTTGTTGAAGAGGCCAGGTTTGCTCCATTTTATGCCTCTGCCCTTTTTGTCAAATATTATTTGACTATAGGTTTATTTCTGGGTGCTCTATTCTGTTCCATTGATCTATGTGCCTGTTTTTATGCCAGTATCAGACATTTTGATTACAGTGGCCTTGTAGTATAGTTTAGTATCAAGTATTGTGATTCTTCCTACTTTGTTCTTCTGTCTCAAGATTGCTGCAGCTCTCCGGGGTCATTTACGGTTCCATATATACTTTTGAAATGTTTGTTCTATATCTGTGAATTGTGTCACCGGTATTTTAATAGGGATTGCATTGAATCTGTAGATAGCTTTGGGTTGTATGGACATTTTAATGATGTTGATTCTTCCAATCCATGAACACAGTATATGCTTCCTTTTTTTTTTGTATTTTCCTTAATTTCTTTCTTTAGTGTTTTGTAATTTTCTGAGTACAGGTCTTTTACCTCCTTGATTAAGTTTATTCTTAGGTACATTATTTTTCCTATTGCTATAACAAATGGGATTTTCTTCCTACTTTACATTTCTGATATTTCATTGTTGGACAAAAATGCCTTCAATTTATGAATATTGACTTTGTATCCTGCTGCTTTGCCAAATTTGCTTATTAGGTTAAGTAGTTTTTCGGTGGAGTTTAGAGGGTATAGCATCTATTCTTAAACTATAAGGTGGATATTACTCACCAGTAAACTTGCTACAATTCAAATATCCAGGCTTTATCACTAGAGATTCTGATTCAGTAATTCTTGGATGAGGCTCAGAAATCTGCATTTTAATAGCTAATTGAATTGATTTTTGTGTGATTGGAAGAGCAGGTTGGATTAACCAAACTCTGAGGCCCTCCCTAATTTTGGGACTCTGATTTAAAGTAGAGGGAAGGGACCCAGAGAAATTATAGAGGTGGCTCACAGATTGTTTCTGTTATCTGGCCATTTTTTAAGTACATTTTATTGATTATGTTATTACAGTTATCCCAGTTTTGCCCTTTACCCACCTCTACCCAGTACCCCCCTTCCCTCCAGCAATCCCCTGTCCTTAGTTCATGTCCATGGGTCATGCATGTGAGTTATTTGGCTTCTCCATTTCTTTTACTACTATTCTTAACATCCCTCTATCTATTTTGATCCTATCAGTGATGCTTCTTAATCCTTGTACCTTTTCCCCCATTTTTTCCCTTCCTCCTGCCACTGATAACCCTCCATGTGATCTCCATTTCTAGGATTCTGTTCCTGTTATAGTTGTTTGTTTATGTTTTTGTTTTTTAAGATTCAGTCACTAGTATTTGTGAGTTTGTGGTCATTTTACAGTTCATAGTTTTGATCTTTTTTTCTTAGATAAGTCCCTTTAACATTTCATGGAATAATGGCTTGATAATGATGAACTCCTTTAGCTTTACCTTGTCTGTCTATCTGCCCTCCCATTCTAAGTGATAGCTTTGCTGAATAATCTTGGTTGTAGGTCCTTGCTTTTCATCACTTTGAATACTTCTTGTCAGTCCCTTCTAACCTGCCAAGTATCTTTTGAGAAATCCGCTTATAGTCTTATGGGTACTCCTTTGTAGGTAACTCTCTGCTTTTTTCTTGATGCCTTTAAGATTCTCTCTTTATCTTTTTAACCTTTGGCATTTTAATTATGATGTGTTTTGGTGCACGGTTCTCTTTGGGTCCAACTTGTTTGGAACATTCTGTGCTTCCTGGACTTGTATGTCTATTTCCTTTGCCAAAATAGGAATGTTTTCTTTCATAATTTTTTCAAATAAGTTTTCAATTCTTTGCTCTTCCTCTTCTCCTTCTGGCATCCCTATAATTTAGATGTTGGCACATTTGAAGATGTCCCAGAGTCTACTTATTCTCTCCTCATTTTTTTTTTTCATTCTTGTTGCTTCATTCTGTACTGGTTGATTGTTTATTTCTTCCTTATGTTCCAAATTGTTTATTTGAATCCCGGCTTCATTCCCCTCACTGCTGGTTCCCTGTGAATTTTTTTTTCCACTGAATGTAGACTTAATTTTTTCCATTATGTTGTTGCCATACTCAATGAGTTCTCTGGGCATCCTGATTGCCAGTGTTTTGAACTATGCATCTGATAGTTTGGCTATCTCCCTTTCACTTAGTTCTTTTTCTGGGCTTTTGTTCTGTTCTTTTATTTGGGCCATATTTCTTTGTGTCCTCAATTTGGCAACCTCCCTGTGTTTGTCTTTGTGTATTAGGTAGAGCTGCTTTTATTCCCTGTCTTAGTAGCATGGCCTATGTAGAAAAGGCACCTGTAAATTGTGTGGGGCGGAGCCTTAGCTAATTGCCAGGGTGGGGCAGTCCACTTCACCACTTTGTGGCTCTGTGTGTGGGGAGGGCTCAGAGAGGGGACAGTGCCATTGCCTGGCTTCTCACCCTATTTTCGATCACTTCCCTCACTCCCCATATGTGATTGGCACCCTACCAGGTGCTGCCCTGATGGTGAAACTCAGAGTGTGTGGATTTGCGTATGCTCTAAGTTCATATTGGCTCTTTAAGTGGCAAAAATCCAGCAGTTTCTTCTGCCGCCCCAACCCCCATTGGTTTTTATAGCCAGAGGTAATGGAGGTTTATCTTGCCATGCTGGAAACCTGGGCTGTGTGGTCTAGCCTGAGTCTGGGATCACTGGCTCCCAAGGTATCCCTCCTGATTTTTATCCACCATACATGAATGTGGTATTGTCTGTTCCACTGCCACTGCTGCCACCTCTCTGCACCACATCATCTGTCCACCTGTTTTGAGGACTCCAACCTTCCTGTTCATCTGGATGAACGTAGCTTCTTTAAATCCTTGGTTGTTGGACTTCCATACAGATTGATTTTCTGGCAATTCTGAGTGTTTTTTGTTTTGATATCTGGTTGTAATTTTTTCTATGGTTGTGCAAGGAGGCAAAGCATGTGTACCTATGCCTCTCTCTTGACCAGAAGTCTTTCTGGCTCTTTCTTAATAGGAGCTCACAAATAATAGGCACTGGTGAGAGTAGTGATAAGATAAACATGGAAGTCTAAAGGGGGTGATAATCAGAAAAAAATAAGTGAAAGAAAATAAAGTGGTGATAAGTGCTATGCAATAATGTGTTAGAGTAGCTAGGGGGTTATTTACATTGGTTGGTCAGGGATGGCCTTTCTGAGATGACATTAAACTGCAAACTGAATTACCAGAAGGGAACAGCCATGTGAAGTTCAGGGGGAAGAGCATTCCAAGAAGAAAGGAAGACTAGGATGAAAACCCTAAGGTGGACACAAGCTTGTCTTGTTCAGTGGCATCCAGAGAAAAGCTTAGTGTAGACAGAGGGGAGTGGGAGAGGAGGAGAGGACTAGGAGGTGAAGTTAAAGAAGTGGGCTTTTTGAGAAAGATGGGGTTGCTGCTGCAGCTCAGCCCACTTCTGCTCCTGACTCACCGCTGTTCACTCTCAGAGAGAATCAAGTCAGTCAGGAAGCCAAATCACAGCAATAGCTTTTAACATTACTGGAAAGACATCTGTGGAATGAGAGGTAGCAATTCTCTGAATTAGAATAACTCTGACCTGCCAGGATGTGCAGTCTTTGGAGAAGGTGTGTGTTGACTTGATCAGAGGCGCAAAGAAAAAGAATCTCAAAGTGAAAGGACCAGTTCGGATGCCTACCAAGACTCTGAGAATCACTGCAAGAAAAGTCCCTTTGGGGAGGGTTCTAAGACTTGGGATCGATTTCAGATGAGGATCCACAAGCGACTCATTGACTTGCACAGCCCTCCTGAGATTGTTAAGCAGATTACTTCCATCAGTATTGAGCCAGGAGTTGAGGTTGAAGTCATCATTGTAGATGGTTAAATTAACCTTTTAAATAAATTGACTATCAGTTGTTTAAAAAAAGTAAAAGAAAAAGTGTGCAGGGACCAGGTCTTACAAAGTTTTTTAAACCAGAGTAGATAATAGAACTATGTTACATTCAATGGAATGCTATATAGCAACAAAAATAAGCTATTTACAAGTATACTTAACAGTGTGGGTGAATTTCATAAACATGATATTGAGCTAAAGAAGCCAAGACACCAAAAGCACATGTTGTATGATTGAAAAACAGGCAAAAATTAATGTCTGTTAGAAACAAAGATGCTGGTTTCCTTGCGGGGGATGGTGAGTGTCAGAAGGCCTTCCTGGTGTTGGTAATGTTCTGGTCCTTTGCCCGTCTGGTTACACAGGTGTATTCAATTGGAAATTCATTGAATTGCACTTTTTTGATTTATGTACTTTTCTGTATGTTATGCTTCAGTAAAAAAATTACCAAACATGATACACAAATGGCTACTGTGAAAATGTGCTCAACGTCATTAGTTATTAGGGAAATTCAAATGAAAGCCATAATAAGATACTACTTCACAACCACTAGGATAGCTATATTAAAAAAGAAAATGAGGCAGGGGAGGCTGGGATGGGAGAAATTGACAAAAAACTGTACTTGAAAAATAACTAAATAAAATTAATTTAAAAAATAAAAAAGAAAATAAAAAAAAAGAAAATGAGAGTTGGCCAGTATATGGAGAAATTGAAACCCTTCTATATTTCTAGTGGTAATGTAAAAAGCTACAGCCACTATGGAAAGTAATTCGGCAGTTTTTCAAAAAGTTAAATATAGAAATATTATATGACCCAGCAATCCACTCCTAGGTGTATACCCAAAAGAACTGAATACAAATGTTCAAGCAAATACTTGTACATGAATGTTTACAACAGCAGTATTCACAGTAACCAAAAGGAAACAACCCAAATGTTCATCAGCTCTGATACATGGATAAACAAAAGTTGTATATCCATTCAGTGAACTATGTTCTTCTATAAAAAAAGAATAAAGTACTGATACATGTTACAATGTGGATTAACATGTATCAGTACTTTATTCTTTTATCCTTAAAAACAGTATGTTAGGTGAAAGAAGCCAGATATAAAAGATTTAATATTTTATCATTCAATTTACATAAAATATCTAGGAAAACATATAGAGACAGAAAGCAGTTTAGTGGTTGCCAGCAACTGGGAGGAAGGTAGAACAGTGTGTTTAGTGGGCATGGGTTTCCTTTTGGAGTGAAAAAAATGTATTGAAATTAGATGGAGGTGATGGTTTACAACAATCATGAATGTATTAAATGCCACTTAATGGGACCCTTTAAGATGGTTAATTTTACATGGCATGAATTTTATTTTTATAAAAATATTCCCCAACCTAAAAAATTTCATTAAAAAAGATGGCTGCAGCAACAACAAAGTAGTAATTGTGTGAAGTGAAGGATATGTTAGCAAATCTTATTGTGATAATCATTTCACTATACATGTGTATTATAGCATCATGTTATACACCTAAACCACACAATGTTATATGTCAATTATATCTCAATAAAGGTGGAAAACAAAAAAGGGTGGGTGAGTGGTTTAGGAGAATGAATTTAGAAGATGGAATCAGAGAGACCAATGAGTCTTGGCAGCAGTTCAGACAAGAGTTAATGGTGAGTAGAACAAAGGAGGTAGTAATTGATGTGGAGAGGTGGACAGATTCCAGATATGTTGTGGAGCTGACAGGACTTGTTGGGTTGAATGTAGGATGTGAAGGAAAGAGAGGAATGAAGAATGACCCCTAGATGTTTTGCCTTGAAAAACTAGGGGTATGATGGTGTTCCATTACCCCTTGATAGGGACCCTGAGTCTTAGGATGCAGGGCCTTCCTCCACAGCTGAGCAATAACCAACCTTGGTATTCCTGAGAGACAGAATCAGCAAAATCTCCCCATCCTAATCCCAACCTGTAACCACTGTAAGGTATTTTAAGTGACTCAGAATTATTGCTAACTCTCATTAAGCATGCCCAAGCACATTCTCAACCCTCTGATTATGATACTAGCTACACCCATGGCATAGCTCTGCCAAGGGCCCCTCCTCCCTACACCTGGCAGGGTCATCAGGTCATCTTTAAACAACTGTTCCCCTTCCCCTCCCAGGAGGCTAAGCAGCCTTTCTTTAGACTCCCACCTCTTCTTGGGCTGCATCTGTTCTCCACTCCTGTTAGGCTTCCTTCTCCCCACACTTATTCCTGAAGGCCTTTTATACCACCCCAAGACTTTTTTGCTCAAAGTTTCACCCAAGTTCCTCCCCCTGCCTCACCTCACCTGAGGGGTTTGTACTCCCAGGCAGCCTTATTTGGTCTCTCTCCCTTCACAGGGAACCTCAGCCCCACAGGGGGTCGGCTCATGAACAGCTGTATCCAGGCCAGGAAGAAATGCCAAGCTGATCCCACCTGCAGTGCTGCTTACCACCACCTGAATTCCTGCACCTCATCACCCGCAGAGGGAGCTGCAGTTTCTGCAGACTGCTTGGAGGCAGCACAACACCTCAGGAATAGCTCTCTGATGAACTGCACATGCCACCGGCGCATGAAGAACCAGACTACCTGCCTGGACATCTACTGGACTGTACATCCTGCCCGCAGTCTTGGTGAGGTCCCCATCCCAGAGTGGACTAAGCTAGGGAAGATGGCCCTTTGGGTTGTCTTTTAATCCTTTACATGTGAGCCCATGGTAGATTTTGAGAATGATGATAAATGAAGCTTTGCATGTGACATCAGTAAGAAATAGAGGAATTGCCAGTATCCTTTTGGGTCCCCCAACATTGTCCTCCTATCTCCCTATTTCCTTCTTTCTTATCTGATGACACGTAGCTGTCTCTTGGCAGAGATATGAACCAGGCTGAGGCCCAAGCTGGGGAGCTCCTGGAACAGAAGGGTATGGAGAAGAGATGGAGGGAAATGGTTTTAACCCATAAACAGGCTCCAAATACAATGTAATCCATAAATGTAGAGACTGGGAGGCAGCATCCTGGTCCAGCCTTTAATAAAAAAAGGTACTCATTAGTTAAGCAGGAGGTGATAAAAAGAGAGGGCACTGGAAGAGACAAAGAGAAAAGCGTCCCCTGACTCCATTGACCCCTCTGTGTATCAGTCAGCTTTTACTGGACTGTGCTGTAGTAACTTGTAGAACAAATAACTTACAAAACAAAGGTTAATTCTTGCTTATGTTCCATGTTGGCTGTTTCATGTGCCCCTTCATTCCCAGATCCTAGCTGAAAGGACAGCTTGTATCTAGGATGTTCCCTTCTCATAGCACAGGGAAATGAACAATGGCAGAACTATGCTGTGGCTTTAAAAGCTCCTGCTTAGATTTTACATAAAATACTTCAGCTCACATTACATTGACAAAGCAAAACATATGGAGGGCAAGCCTGAGATCACTGGGGAGGGGAAGTGTACTTCTCCCACAGGGAGATGTTGAAGACCAAATGGCAATAAGTGAGTGTATGTAATCTTACAGTGAGGGCAAAAATAACGAACCAATAATACAACCTTCACAGCCCACCACTTGGTCAAAATATTCATTTTCCTCCCTTCCACAAGCAATATATACCAACACACTTTCCAAGAAAGATACCCTAAGAGTTCTACCCAAACATGACATCAGGCTCCAAGTCTAGGATCTTGTGATTATTTATATATTCAGTGTGGATATGGCTCCTCTTGATCTAGAAATTTATGAACTAAAAGACTTCCAAGTCAAGATGGAGGCATAGGTAGACACACTATGACTCCTCATGCAACCATAGAAAGAATTACAACCAGAACCCAAAAGAAATTGACACCCAGAACCATCATAAAATCGAGCTGTATGGAAGTCTGACAACCAAGGATTTAAAGAAGCCACATTCATCCAGACAGCTAGGAGAATTAGAGCCACAGAGACGGGCAGAGAGGCGGCAGCAGTAGTGGTAGCAGAACAGTGGGTCCCACATTCATGTACCATAGATAAAAATCAGGAGGGACACCTTGGTGGTGAGCAATCTCATCCCCAGCCAGATCACACAGCCCAGGGTTCCAGCACCAGGAAGATAAACCCTCATTATGACTGGCTGTAAATATCAGTGGTGACTGGGGTGGTGGAAGAAACTGCTGGATTTTCGCTGCTTAAAGAGCCCACATAGACTTAGAACATATACATAAAACCATGCACTCTTGGTTTCAGCAGCTGAAAGGACACCAGTAGCATACAGGAAACAGGTGAAGTGACTGGAAATAGGGTGAGTGCCAGGCAAATCTCCAGAAGCCAGGCAATGGCATCGTACCCTCCCTGAGCCCTCCCCACACACAGAGCCACAAAGTGGTGAAGTGGGTTGTCCCACCCTAGCAATTAGCTAAGGCTCCCTCCCACATAATTTACAGGTGCCTTTTCTACATAGGCCATGCTACTAAGACAGGGAATAAAAGCAGCTCTACCTGATACACAGAAATAAACACAGGGAGGCTGCCAAATTGAGGACACAAAGAAATATGGCCCAAACGAAAGAACATATCAAAACTCCAGAAAACGAACAAAGTGAAATAGAGCCAAACTATTAGATGCACAGTTCAAGACACTGGTGATCAGAATGATCAGAGAGCTCAGTGAGTACAGCAAACACATAAGGAAAGAAATGAAGGCTACACAGTGAAATACAGAAAAATTCACAGGGAACCAGCAGTGAAGAGGAGGAGGCCAGGGTTCAAATCAATGATTTGGAACATAAGGAAGAAATAAACAGTCAACCAGTACAGAATGAAGTAACAAGAATGAAAAAAAAAAAAGAGAGAGAATAAGAAGACTCTAGGACATCTCCAAATGTGCCAACATCTAAATTATAGGGATGCCAGAAGGAGAAGAGGAAGAGCAAAGAATTGAAAACTTATTTGAAAAAATTATGAAAGAAAACATTCCTATTTTGGCAAAGGAAATAGACATACAAGTCCAGGAAGCACAGAATGTTCCAAACAAGTTGGACCCAAAGAGAACCGTGCACCAAAACACATCATAATTAAAATGCCAAAGGTTAAAAAGATAAAGAGAGAATCTTAAAGGCATCAAGAAAAAAAGCAGAGAGTTACCTACAAAGGAGTACCCATAAGACTATAAGCGGATTTCTCAAAAGATACTTGGCAGGTTAGAAGGGACTGACAAGAAGTATTCAAAGTGATGAAAAGCAAGGACCTACAACCAAGATTATTCAGCAAAGCTATCACTTAGAATGGGAGGGCAGATAGACAGACAAGGTAAAGCTAAAGGAGTTCATCATTATCAAGCCATTATTCCATGAAATGTTAAAGGGACTTTTTTAAGAAAAAGAAGATCCAAATCATGAACATTAAAAGGTAACAAATTTACAACGATCAACAACTGAACCCAAAACAACAACAACAAAAACAACTATGCAAACAACCAGAACAGGAACAGAATAATAGGTATGGAAATCATTTGGAGGGTTATCAGCTGGGTGGGGGGAGGGGCAAATGGGGGAAATGATTAAGTGATTAAGAAGCCTCATTGGTAGGAACAGAATAGACAGGGGGATGTTTAGCATAGGAAATGGAGAAGCCAAAGAACTTACATGCAAAACTCATGGATATTAACTAAGGGGGGATAGCTGGAAGGAAGGGGTTTACCAGGAGGACGGGGACAATGGGGGGGAAATTGGGACAACCGTAATAGTATAATCAGTAAAGTATACTTTAAAAAGAAAAGGAAAACCCTCAAAAAACCAAGTACAAGAAAGAAACTAACATATGGACTAAGAAGACAAGTCATCTGCCTCCCATTACATACTCAATATATCATAATGAAACAGGGACAAGAAAAACCATAACAGATAATTTCAGTAAGAAAGGGGAAGGATGGGAGGCATGCGGCAGACATTGATTCATAGCAACTCTGAAGTCTCACTAGACAAATGTCACAATGTCCATCTTCCTTGGGAGCAGTGGTTGTTCTTTAATAAGGCCGTGTTTTTACTGCATGGGAGAGTTGCTCTACTCATTGTTCTCTAGGGCTCTTGGCCCAGCTCCCTGGGAGCTCTTCTTTTTTCCATTACAATAAATCCTCACTCAATGTCATCAAGATTCTTGGAAACTGGGACTTTAAGCCCAATGACATATAATGAAACCAATTTTTTCCATAGAGTAATTAATGTAAATAAGTTCTTACAGCATATTCCGGGCCTCAAAACATCACCAGATTTCTAAATAGAGACCCAAAACACTTATGATATTAAACATCAAAATAAATATGAGCTATATATACATTTAAAGAAAGATTAGTAAAAAAAAGTAAGACAATTACGTTCCAACTCATTTATTCCAGATCAGGGTTGGGAGTGCCCGGAACCTATACTGGCAGCTCAGGGTGCAAGGCTGGAACCCACCCTGGACAGGACACCCTTCCATCGTGGGGCCACTCACACCCCCAGCCACACTTCCTCAGACTGGGACAGTGTACACATGCCAGTTCACCTAACATGCATATATTCAGGATGGGGGAGTAAGCCAGAGTACCCAGAGAAAATTCGTGCAGACATGGGGAGACCTCCAATTCCACACAGACAACTTCTTTGCTGGGGATCAGTTTTTTTCCCTCATCAATGTTATAACAAAACAACGTAGAAGACATAATTCAAGGACCTGCTGTGTTTTCTTTGGCCACATATGAAAAGGGCGTGGAGACTCTGACCTCCTTGGGGACTGAGCACTATATTCAGCTTGTTTCCTATTTGAGGAATATTGGGGCATTTTAAGTCTCAAATAGTCACAGTGTCTTTTAATTCAAACTGGTGGCTTTTAGCAGTTCACTCTCTCAAAACATAATTTATTTTTATACTTTGGTTTTCATCACCACCTGTGCCAGTGATGGCCTTTCCTATAATTCTTTTCAAGGCATGTATCTCTTTCTAGACTGAATTAGAAGTACCCCTATCAGGCTTCTATGGGAGGGCCACTACCTTAGTTTTTTTTCCCTGACCTCATTTGTCCAACTGGCAGGATTTATTGGATACCACTTTAATCAATGAGAGATCCCCACGAAGGGCATGATAACCACAAACTTGATTTGGTCTTGCTCCAAGGCTGAGTTGTAATAGATCTTATTACTCAAAGCATTGTTCAATTTTATCTTTTACCATTTGAATACAAGAAGCAATTGCAACTTTTCTTAATCCTGCAAGTCCCACAATTTCTGGATTCTCCCTTTTCTGTTTCTTCTCTATTTGCAGACTGGCCAGTTCTTCTCTGAACTTTTATCTTCCTTGGAGTAGCTTGCTAAATGCAACTAATAGCAATCAAGACATACTAGTAAACTTCTGCTTCTCAGCTTCTCATGTTAAAGCACAAGCTAATTCAGTACATTACCTTTCTTCCAAGTTCACGACCCACTGCTCAGTCCCAAAGCCAATACCATGTATTTTAGGCTATTTGTTTTTTGTTCTTTAGCACTCCACATCTAGATACCAATTACATTTTTAGTAATGTACTAACGTTGTGTACTAGGTTATGCTGCAGTCACAACCAACCAAGCCCACAATTTCTGTCTTTCAACAACAAAAATGTATCTCTTGCTCATGTTATACATCTGCTGCAGGCTTCCATAAGTTGACTTTGTCTTTGCTCTACCTGTCTTTTTCATTCAGGGATCCAGGCTGGTAGAGGGAGAAGAGCAACAGCAGAATCAGGTGATAGTTCTTAAAGCTTCTGCTCAGATGTGATTTATATCACTTCACTCACAATGCACAGGCCAAAGCAAGTCACATGGCTGAGCCTGACAGTGGGTGGGGGCCTGAAAATCATTTCGCAAGAGGTGGGAATGTCATTTTTCCACAGGATGGATAGCAAATAATTGTAAACAGCCATACAATTTACCACACTCTTCGTTTCCTGCTTTCTGCTCCTTATCTTAATCCCTTCTGTTTCAGAACTTCCCCTGAGACTTCTCCTTGGATCTTCTCCCATCACCTTTTCCCTTGGGAGCATCAGGTCTTCCCAACTACCCAACTATCCTCTCCTGCTTACCTAACATCATCCATACTCTTTGCCTCCAAAAGATGCATTCACAGAGTCTTATTGTGTGAAAACCCTGCAAGCTCACCTCTCTCACCTTTCTCTTCCAACAAGATTAACCAACATTTATTGAGTATCTACCATGTACAATATATGAACTACGCAGTGATTATATAAGCCCCCTTAAGGAGTCCACAACCTCATGGAGGTGACTAAGAGAAATGTGTTTCCTTTGAGATCATTATTTCTCCCTTCTTTGCTCTTCTCCCTCAGGTTCAGTTTGGAGCCTGGCCTCACTTCCACCTCCACAGCATGTAATGCTTTGCCATAGCCAAATGGTCAGGCCTGGAACAGAGTCTGTCACTGCCCTGTCTCCAGTAGGAAGAGAAAACAAGACAGAATCCCCTTGCCTGCTCATGGATCCACAGGCAATATGTCTAGTGGTTAGGAGCCGAGATCCTGCAATCAGATAGTCTAGGTTTCAAAGCCCAGTTCCACTTCTTAGCTTATGTGAGCCTGAGTGAGTAACTTAACTTCTCTCATCCTGTTTCTTCTTACCTACCCAAAGCTTTCTCCGGAGGATTAAATGAGATCGAATATATATATTTAATGAGATCACTTTAAATATATATCGATATGTGTGTGTGTTGGTATATATATGTAATTTTTTTCACTTACACCACTGTGCCCAGCACACAGCATGCTCAGCATGGTACCTTTACCATTCTCATCATTAAATTTAGGTTATTCATCGCACCCAGCCTATACCTTATGGCCCTGATTTTTTTCTCACTTCTCAGAGTTTGCAGCTAGTTAGCAAGAGACTGTATTTTCCTTTTCTCTAAAGGGCTTTGAGATCTGACTCAGCAGCCTCAGGCCCTCCTGCACCTGCCCCCAGACCCGTCCTCAGGACTCTGGTGCTCTCTGCCTTTTCTCTAGGTGACTATGAGCTGGATGTCTCCCCCTATGAAGACACAGTGACCAGAAAACCCTTGGAAATGAATCTCAGCAAACTGAGCATGCTCAAACCAGGTGTGGAGGGCAAGGGAAAACTGTGGTGTGGGGGCTGGGTGTGAGTCCCAGTTGGGGTACACAAACTGGAGGGCCTGTGGGGGAAGAATGTGCACCTGCCAGGTAACTAAAGCAGGATTGCATGGGGTGGGAGTCTGAGATGTGGGGCATGGTCTGATCTTGTAAGAGTCATCTGGAAGTGATAGTCATTAGGGAAGCATTCAGAGAAAGCCCATTAGGGCTCCCTAGTTCCAGAAGGTGGGTCTCTCTGTAGAGGGTTTGGTGGGAGTGGCAGCAGTCCCAGGAAAATGTGCTGAAATGGAGTATTTAACCTCATTCAAGGCAGCCACAAAAGTAGTTTTTTGTTTTGTTTTGTTTTTTCTTTTTGTCCCTGAAGACTAAGAAATTATTGTTTTCAACCATTTTAATGGGACGGGTGAGGTGCTGGGCAGGGAAAAATGGTTAGAAAGAGTGTGATGCTTCAGGGATGACTCAGGGTGGGGAGCCATCTGTCTGGCAAGGACTACGATGCATGTTTTTCAGGAAAGAGAAGCTCTTGCATTAATAGGAAGGGAACACAGGCGCACATGCACTACTGTCTGTGAGAAAGATGTGAGTGTTGTTATGTAGTCTGTTACATTAGAATTTTGAGAGAAAAGCATAGAGATTTATACATAAACTCTTAGTTACTACAAGGGATTCAGGAATTTGCCTGTTCAGTTACTCCATTGTTCTGACTGTTGGAATATTCTCTTAATAGAAATATTACCATAATTTCCTGAGACTCAAGAGTATGAGAAACTTTTATGCATACATGAATCAATGAAAGACAAGCAGGTGATATTAATACTGAGCAGAATAGACAGATGTAAAAAAAAAAAAAACCACCCCAAATCCCAGGTAGAATTTGGTTGCATTTGTTGGACAGAAAGTTTTAGATTGTTATAGAGCCTCCAGCTTATTCCCACCATGAGATCTCATTCAATGCATAGGACTGAGGAAAGGGTTTTGGTTATTTGAACCTCTGGCTGCTTGAATTTTAGATAAATGAGCCTTAGATGTATGTGGGTTTTCTTCTTTTTTTTAACTTAGGCTGAGGAGTAGCATGAGGGAGGCTCACGAATACCAGAGGTAGTTTGTGTGTAAAGGAAAAGCCGTGGATTAGGAGTGGCTTACTCAGGGCAGTCCTCCCTTTTCTTCTTACCCTCACTACCAATGCCTGTTAAATCATAGGCGGGGTGTGGATGGGCGTTGGTTCCCGAGGGAAGCTGGTTTTGCAGAGGACTGGTGACTTGGTGTCGCTCCTTCCACAGACTCAGACCCCTGCCTCAAGTTCGCCATGCTGTGCACTCTTAATGACAAGTGTGGCCGGCTGCGCAAAGCCTATGGAGAGGCTTGCTCCAGGCCCCACTGCCAGCGTCATGCCTGCCTCCAGCAGCTGCGTGCCTTCTTTGACAATGCTGGGGCATCCTACGCACAGGGTCTGCTGTTGTGCCCATGTGCACCTTCCGACCTGAGCTGTGGGCAGCGACGGCGCAACACCATCGCCCCCAGCTGTGCGCTGCCATCTGGGACCCCCAACTGCCTGGAGCTGCGGCGCCTCTGCCTCTCAGACCGGCTGTGCAGGTACGGGGCTAGGGGGCTGGGTGCGGGTGGGCCAGGTAGGCAGGGTCACCGTGCGCACCACTCCCTCCAGGCACCCTCGATGGGAGGAGGGGTCCAACTCCTCGGAGTCCTTGTACTGACTTAATGACGTATCTATCTTCCGATATTTTAGGAAACTCATTTCTCAAAAAAAAAAAAAACCATATAGTATTTTCTTCGTGTAAAAACTTCAGAAAATATAAAAACATATAAAAATATCACACAAAATCAGTTCAGTGGATTGAGCGCCAGCCTGTGACCCAAAATGTTGCCGGTTCGGTTCCTGGGCAGGGCATATGTCTAGGTTGCAGGCCAGGTCCCTGGCTAGAGGCAACCTAAAGGCAACTGATATAGTTTCTCTCCCTCTCTTTCTCCCCCTCCTCCCCTTTCTCTAAAAATAAATAAATAAAATATTTTTAAAAATCCATCACCTAAAGATAATTTGCCATACTTTGGGGGAGCAAATCCTTCTAGTCCTTTTTGTGTATAGAGAAACAAAATTTGATATTCTAGGAATATGTTTGCATCTTATATTGTATCTTTTTTTAAATTTATGGTGCATAACTCATGAACACATTCTGATGGAAGCAGTACAGAACAGTGGTCAAGACAAGCTCCGAAGCCAGACTGATCTGAATTTGTCCTGGGTCTGTGTGACCTTGGGCCCATCACTTAACCTAAAATTCCATCACTTAACCCAGCTTTCCACTTAGTTCTCTGTACAAACTGAGATAATACTGTGGACCTCATAGGATTTTGGTGGGAGTTGGAGTACATAATTTATGGAGAGTGCTTAATCTGCTGGTACAAAGTAAGTGCTCAATAAATGGTGTTGCTTATTTTGTCATTTACTATCCTTTGACAACATGATTTTTTTTGTAGTTGCCTCTCACATGCCACCTACTGGGGACCTGGCCCACAACCCAGGCATGTGCCCTGACTGGGAATTGAACTGGTAACCCTTTGGTTTGCAGGCCAGTGCTCAATCCACTGAGTCACACCAGCCAGGTCTACAACTTGATTTTTAAGAGCCTACATTATACCTTATTTTATGGACGTCCCATACTTTATTTAATCATTCTCTATTGTTGGATATTTAGGTTGTTTTCTAAATAATGCTGTATAGATATCACTCTTGTTTATTAATCTTTGTGCAAAAATATAATTATTGATTGGGATGTGTTGCTATAAGTACCAATATTGAATCAAAGGGCATAAAGATGTGTAAGGTGTTTGCTGCATATTCTCCAGCCAAATTCTGATCTGGCTTTCCTCTGCCTTCTCAGGACAAAACACTTAACCAAATTGAAGTTATCATCCATTCAAGTGACATTTGTTGGCAATGAAGTCATACCAACCTTGTTTTGCAGTCTGGTTCTACCACCTTACTTCTCTGTAACCTTGGGCAAGCTATTTAACTCTGAGTCCCACTTTCCTCTTCTGCAAAATATTATATAGTTAGAGCTCTCAACAATCATAACACTAATACTTACTAAGTACTTACCATGGGCTAGGTACTGTTTTAATACTTACCATGTATTAATTAACTCATCTAAATCTCACTCACAAGAACCCTGTAAGAGATGCTGTTTTTACTTTTTGTCATCCCCAGTTTACAAATGAAGAAGCCACAGAAGAGAAAGATTAAAAAACCAAGTAGTAAGTCAAATTTGTGAATAAGGTTTGGACTGAAGTCTGGCCTAGAGTCTGTGCTGCTGACCTCTCTGCCACACTACCTATTATTGTGCTGGTAGCTATTACTATAACATAACAAGTGCTGGACTAGATGATAAAGGTATTGTTTCTTCCTTCAAGGAGTTTGCATTTGAGTGGGGGTGGCAGAGAAGTAAACCACCAATCTAACACAAAGCCAAATATAAGGAAAACTGCAGAAATTTATACAGAGAAACATACTCAGAATTCTCTTATCCAAAAATAACCGACTTTACTTGTAGGGTTGAATGTTAATAATAACAATATCTAATGTCCGTTAAACACTTCAAAAGTACCAGACGCTATGCTAAGTGCTGTATATACATTCTCATATTTCATTCTCATAAAAATCCACACTTTTTATTTACAGTCAAGGAAACTGAGGTTAAAGAAGCTGCTGAGATCTCCTAACTTGGGGTTGTGGAGCCCAAATTCACAGTGTTATGCTGTGGGGACTGAGACGATAGTGCATTTCATTGTGATGGCAGCAGACCTCACTGGGCCTCGCTCTGAAAGTAGAGGAGGATTTGGCATGAAGATGGGCCTGTCAACTACAGGGCCAGCAAAGGTGAAGGCCGCAGGCCAGACCGTTAAAGGAAACCCTTGAATTTTTTCTTTCAGATCACGCCTGGCTGATTTTCAGACCCACTGCCATCCCTTGGACATCCTAGGGACCTGTGCTACAGAGCAGTCCAGATGTCTGCAAGCATACATGGGGCTGATTGGTGAGGCTAGAGGATGTGTGTAGGGAGCCCACAGGTTGGCCTTGGGGTAAGAATGCTGTGGCTATTGAACCCAGATGGAGTGCTCCTGGTAAGAGTGAAGGAGGATGGGAGCCGAAGCTGGCATTGGCCTAGGTCCTGACAGTCCCCTTTTCACCCCACAGGGACTGCCATGACCCCCAACTTTGTCAGCAACGTTAATGCCAGCGTTGCCTTAAGCTGTACCTGCCGAGGCAGTGGCAACATGCAGGAGGAGTGTGAGCGGCTGGAACAGTTTTTTTCCCAGAACCCCTGTCTCAGTGAGTTTGCTCCATCTGCTCCCTCCATGGTGGTCAGGCCAGCTGGACCCAGGGAGAGGAAAAGGGTCAGCTCTGTCCATCTCTTGCTGCCGGATCAGCCCCCTCCTCAGAATAGGCTTACATCCCTCAGCCTGGGCCTTTCTTCCTTCTTCTGCTCTCTGAATGACCCCAAAGCTACCAGTTGAACATGTCTGGACCTAGGGACACTTGGCACTATTCAGCTCAAGGAATAAGCAAGCAGAACGAGACAATATCCCATTACACCTGCCACCTATCTACCCCCCTGCTTCCCAGGGTTCCTGAGACATTCCTGCTTATCCTGCCTTGGGAGCCTGAGAAATCTCCATGATCTGTCCACTTCCAACTTCCCTTCTCTTTTCTCCTCAGCGGCGGCCATTGCAGATCAGATGCATTCACACAGCAAACTCTTCTCCCAGGGCTCTACCTCAGCTGGGAATGGACTCCAGGTAGGGCCTCGTCTATTACACTCCTCATACCTTTACCAAACCATCTGGGGAAAACCCAGGTAAAGCAGACAAGGGGATGGAGGGGGTGACCTCAGTGTTGTCATAAATACTCTAGACCTCTAATGGGCACTGTAGGGGAAGGGGACATGACTGAAGCTGATGTGGTGAAGCGGGTAGAGTTGACTCCATTGCATTTCTTCCACAGAACAAAATCCTTGCTCTGAGGCCACAGCCCTGGATGCTCTCTCTTTTCTCCTGCACTCTTACCTTGATTCTGCTCCTAAGGTCCTGGTAACTGGACTTCCCTGGGACCCTCTTCCCCTCTACTACACCCAGCCTGACCTGCCACCTGCAAGAAGTGAGGAAAGAATGGCATCGAGAAGGAGGTTGCATGACAACATGGCAACCCTGATCCGCCCCCCCCCCCCCACCGCACATTCTCACAATGGAAGCTGACTGGCTCAGTTCTCATTCCCTCCACTTCTGACTAAGACTGCCCCTTCTTAGGAATTGGACTCCATGGTTTAGCCATATCTTCTGGTGGTGACCAGTTCTACTAAACTCTCTCCTGGTCCCTTCCCATCAGGATCACCAGGTTCTAACGAATCATTTTCTATTGCATTCAACAGGTAGTCAGGGCTGGGTGTTCTGAGGCAGCCTAGACTCCTCTCCCTTTGTCTCCTTCTCTGAATGGAGGGTGGGAACCTGTTGCCTGCCCTGCTCTGGTACCCTACAGAGCATTTGAGTTCAGGAGCTAGAACATTTAAACTTTGCTTTCTTCCTGCTGCTGTCCCAAAGTCCTCCCTGTCTCTTGGATCATAATTAAACATTTTGACTTAAAACCTTCCTCTCTTTCCACTTTCTCACATTGTGAATTTATACAGAACTAGAGATTTTACAGACAGAAGAGCACAGACCAGGTGATCAGGAGACACATCAACTCTGCCACCAAGTTTTACGTGACCTCAGGCACGTCTCTCAGCCTCTCTGTGTGGCTTCCGACATAGAGTTGGAAGGAAAAAAATAGCTTATGTGAGGCTCTGGACCTGTATATGTTTAAGCTCCAAGCATTTCTGGGATCTGCCACAGTGGCTTAGAAGGGGGGTGGTCCTTAGTCAACCATAGCATTTATTGAGTACCTGCTTGGAGGTACTCAATACCTCCAAGTCATTGGTCTGCTCTGCACTATGATGGGAGCCAGAGGAAAGGGGAGACTGGTCCTCGATCTAATTGGAAATCCTGATCTAATTGGAAACAGCCACCTGTGCAAAGTAGTCAGAAGAATATATTTACAGGGCTGTGGACATTTATCTGGTAACTCATTCACTCACTCTTTCCATAAGCACCTGATGAGTGCTGGCTGCAAGGTGCTGTGCTAAGTACAGGAGATGCCAAGGGAGTAAAACTCGGATCCTGTTTTAAAGGCAGGGGAAGGGATGAGACAGTAAATTTTAAAATACAGAGTGATAAGTGCTGTACAAGTATTATAATGATAACCCTCAGTTATTGAGCCCCTACTGTGTGCAAGTATATGAAGATTAATTCTTTTAATCCTCCAACAACACTTGACTTTGTCAGTCATTAGCTATGGGACCTTGGGCTTAACCCCTTTGGGCCTTACTATCCATATCTGTAACATAGAAGGAGCCTAGAACCTACCTTATAAGAAATGAGATAATCCATGCAAAAGCACTTACTACTGATATGTAATAAGAACTTAAATAAGCTAGCAATTATAGTATAAGGTTTTTTAGAGAATTTTGATGATACAGGTAATTATCAAGAAGAAATTAAAAATCTTTAAAATCTCACCCTCAAACTTCCAAATCTGCTCCCTGTGCATCTGTGCGCATGAGAATTTATGGGTATGTATAATTTTAACATAAGTGGAGGCAGATGCTACGTATCAAAGTATAAGTCTTAGGATCTTTCAGCATCCATGAATAGAGCTTGGGCTACATCATCCTTTTTATCACCTGTCTAACACGGACTTGTATGAATGCATATTTCTACATACACATTTTATTTAAGACGTTCTGCATTGATGAATATTTGCTTGCTTTTCTATTTTTCTCCAGCCAAGTTTTAAGGCAATGAAGAGGTGACTAGAGGTAGGATGTGTAGAGTAGCTGCCAGAGTGATGGGTGAAATAGGGAAGCCTCTCCCTATACAGTTTTGTATCCCCATAGCCCACCCTGCCCCAGGAAATACCCAAACGACCTGCCTCCCTGCAAAGTCCGGTGGGGCACTGGCTGGAACTTCCCCTTCTTCTCCTCTCAGGAAGATCTCTGAGCTGTCAAGAGCTCTCCATTTGCTTTGGCTCCATTAGTCTAGGGCTGGGGTGTGAATGGTGCAGTCATTCCTTGCTAAGTGCTTGAATTAGACTATAGGTCATCTGCGCTTTTCTCTGAAGAAGGTCCAAATTCCTGGTAAACAACCAGACTACTCTCCCAGCTCAGGGCCCAGAGCCAAGACCAAGGGTGGGGGCAGAGAGGCTGGACTGAAACTCTTAATGGTATCCTGGCTGCCTAGGATGGTTAATGCCATTAGACACTAGCTTTTGGGTAATGAGGTGGGAAGGGCTGCTGGCAACAGTGATAAGTAAAGAGTACTGAATAGTGGGCCTCTGCATAGTCAGGTTGAAACAGACTATCTTTTAAACAATTACATATCTTCAAATTCACTCATTCAGTCATTCAGTCAGTCAATGAACCTTTAACAAGCACTTGCTCTGTTCCAGGTTGTATTTTCAAGATCTATCCCTACCCATTCATGAGCTCCATTACAGTGAAGGTGCAGCCCAGGACACTGGCAGCTGGGCCTCAAGTTTGGGCAGTTAGAAAACTATAGTTATCTTGGTTGATTACAATGCCCAGCTGATTGACCTTAGGAAATATTCTTTACCCCTCTGAGCCACCATTTCCTCATCTACAGTGGGGATGCCAATACGAATAGCTAACTTAAAGGATTACAGTTTTTGTTTGCTTTATTTTTAATGCATAGAACATCAGCAACTTAATTGCAGTTAAAAACTAATTGGCAATATCAACTAATGTTTTTATCAGTTTTAGTGGTTTGGGTTGGCAATCTTTTGGCTTCCTATTTCCATAAAAGCTTATAAGCATGAGGAATTTATGCTTGTTTTGATCTCTGTGTATATTTTAAGTTAGATAATAGTAAAAACATTTAAAACCAACCAGGGTTGTTTTGAGGACTGGAAATAATAATAATAGCATGGTGCCATCAGTGTCAGCTATTACTATTCTTATTTCTGGGAGAGGATCTGTGGGTACCATGTATTCTGCTCCATGCCCTGGAACTGGCTCTCCCTCCAAATGTGGGCTGAATTCTATCTAGGCATGTTACCCCTGGGAGATTCACTCTTCAAGGTCTGAACTCCAGGATGGAAGCTAGAGCTCTGGGTCTGAAGCTCAGGCCCTGAGGGACCTCGTACAAGAGAATCAAAGAAAGTACCTTAGCCAAAGGTCTTTTAGCTGCATGTAACAGAAACATTAGAATTACTTGGTAAAAGGGGAGCATCATGCAGCTCAATCCCAGGAAGTTCAGCCAGGCTATAGGAGAGCTAGAACTGGCCAGTCAGGAACCAGTTTTGAGCCCTATCTATTTTTTTAAAAAGATTTAAAAAAATTTATTTTTAGAGAGAGGGGAAAGGAGGAAGAGAGGGAGAGAAACATAAATGTGTAGTGGCCTCTTGTGTGCCCCCGCACTGGAGACCTGACTGGCAACCAAGGCATGTGCCCTGACTGGGAATCCAACTGGCGACCATTTGGTTCTCAGGCCAGCACTTAATCCACTGAGCCACACCAGCCGGGGTTTGAGCCTTATCTCTTTTTTTTCAATTGATTATGCCATTACAGTTCTATTCCCCCCGCCTTCATTCCCCTCCACCCTGTACCCCCCATTCCCCCCTTTAGTTTCTGACCATGTGTCTCAAGTTCTTTAGATTCTATATTTCCCATACTATTCTTGCCCTCCCCCTATCTATTTTCTACCTACCGTCTATGCTACTTATTTTCTGTACCTTCTCCCCCCTTCTCCTCCTCCCACTCCCCTGTTGCTAACCCTCCATGAGATCTTCATTTCTATGGTTCTGCTCCTGATCTAGCTGTCCTCTTAGCTTGCTTTTGTTTTAGATGTGGTTGTTAATAACTGTGAGTTTGCTGTCCTTTCACTGTTCAACTTTTTTATCTTCTTTTTCTTAGATAAGTCCCTTTAACATTTCATACAATAAGGGCTTGGTGATGATGAACTCCTTGAATTTGATCTTATCTGAGAAGCACTTTATCTGTCCTTCCATTCTAAATTAATGTTTTGCTGGATAGAGTAATCTTGGTTGTAGGTCTTTGGATTTCATGACTTGAAATACCTCTTTCCAGCCCCTTCTTGCCTGGAAGGTCTCTTTTGAGAAATCCGCTGACAGTCTGATGGGGACTCCTTTGTAGGTGACTGTCCCCTTATCTCTTGCTGCTTCTAGGATTCTCTCCTTCATTTTAATCTTGGCTAATGTAATGACGATGTGCCTTGGTGTGTTTCTTCCTGGGTCCAACTTCTTTGGGACTCTCTGAGCTTCCTGGATTTCCTGGAAGTCTATTTCCTTTCCCAGATTGGGGAAATTCTCCTTTATTATTTGTTCAAATAAGTTTTCCACTGGTGGCTGTTCCTTTCCCCCTTCTGGTACCCGTATAATTTGGATGTTGGAGCATTTAAAGATGTCCTGGAGGTCCCTAAGTCTCTCCTCATTTTTTTGAATTCTTGTTTCTTCATATTTTTCTGTTTGGTCATTTTTTCCTTCTTTCTGGTCCACTCCATTGATTTGAGACCCAGTTTCCTTTTCATCACTATTGGTTTCCTGTGCATTTCCCTTCATTTCAATTAGTTTAGCCTTCATATGTTCCTCTAGTTTGTGACAAAAATCAACCAGTTCTGTGAGCATCCTGATCACCAGTGTTTTGAACTGTGCATCTGAAAGTTTTGCTATTTCTTCACCACTTAGAGTTATGGGCTCTGGGGCTTTGAGATCTTTCTGAGCCATTTTTGGTCTGTTCGCACCCATTAAGTATGAGGAGCAGAACCTTAGGAGTGGGGCGGGGCCACCAGGGCGAGGTCACTGGGTTGTGACGCTGAATGTGGGGGCGGGGTCAGAGTGGGGAAATGGCAGCCCTCTCTGCTGCCTCCTGCCGCTGGGGCCCGCTGGGTCCCGTCTCACTGCCCGCCCCCTTGCCCGTCTATCTGCTCAGGAATGAGCCACCACAGTCAACACACTGCCCTGCACCCTTGCCAGATCCGCTGGTCGCTCACTGGGTCGCTCACTGGGTCTGCCCTTTACAACCTCACGCCTGGGATCTGCGCGCCTGAGTCCGTCTGACCAAGTTTTCCTGTGCAACCCCGCTCCACCAGCTGCTGGTTTTGCCCCTCTCACCGGTCAGGCTGAAGCATTCATTGTTATCAGACTTCCGAAAAGTTCAGTTTTCTGTGTTCTGGTTATGTTTTCTGTTGCTAATATTTTGTTGTCTCTAAACTTGGTTGCGTGAGAAAGCTCGGCGTCTCCACCTATGCCTCCATCTTGGCGGAAGTCCCTGAGCCTTATCTCTTGAAGACCTAGACATCATGGAACATCCACTTCATTCTTTTTGTAGGCCTACTTCTTCTGCATGACCTTCCAGGTCCTGTGACTTTAGCTAAATGATCTCCTATCCTGATTCCAAATTAATGGAAAATCTGATTGTTCGTGCACAGGTTCTAAATTGGCTTTTCTGGATCAAGGGTCCATCCGAGGCCTATCAGCTGGGTAAAGAAAGCATATGCATGTGCTACTAAAGGAATAACAGGATCTCAGGCCTATTAGTTGAGGGCAGTTCTCAGAGAAGTCAGTGTGGCTCACCAGTACTCCCAAAGGCAGAGGCTC